CCCCACTCCTCTCTCCCCTCTCCTCTCTTCCCACTCCTCTCTCCCCTCTCCTCTCTCCCCTCTCCTCTCTTCCCACTCCTCTCTCCCCTCTCATACTCCGCCAAAACCGGTTTATCAAGACCCGTGGATACCAACCCCCACTGACCACCGTCCATTTCCCCTGCATGGTGTCCAAATTCTGATATTGCATATACCAAGAAAACGCACGACTTAACCCACATATTTTTTACGTTTTATACGTCAAATCAACGTTGAAGTAACGCAATGACGTTCCAGTTATGTTGCACGTTTTCTTGATACCTTTATAAACACAGAAAAAAACACCAATTGATGAATTGGTTCTCTTTTTTATTTCTATTTCATCTCTAGTTACTTATTTCATTCATAATTCCAACAAAAATAGGACTCTATTTTCCAGCACTGGCAACGTTATATTTCAATACAAACATTAGGATCATTTTTGTGTTATAATTCCTGTAGGTTATTTGTGTACATTATGTGGTAGACAGGTTATGTATCTACCCCCCCCCCCAGACTGTGGTAGACAGGTCCAGACTGTGGTAGACAGGTTATGTATCTACCCCCCCTGAAGACTGTGGTAGACAGGTTGTGTATCTACCCCCCCCCCTCCAGACTGTGGTAGACAGGTTATGTATCTACCCCCCTGAAGACTGTGGTAGATAGTAGTCATCCACCTACCACCTGAAGATTGGAAGCACTAAGAACCAGTTCACCCTTAGAACAACATCTAAGAACCAGTGCACCTTAGAACAATATCTAAGAACCAGTGCACCTTAGAACAACATCTAAGAACCAGTGCACCTTAGAACAACATCTAAGAACCAGTGCACCTTAGAACAACATCTAAGAACCAGTGCACCTTAGAACAACATCTAAGAACCAATGCACCTTAGAACAACATCTAAGAACCAGTGCACCTTAGAACAACATCTAAGAACCAGTGCACCTTAGATGTGCCAAGAGAGAGAGTTTCCATTAAACTCTATCTCTAGTCTCCTTCCTGATGCTCCTTACATTAGCCTCGACCAGTCGGTTTCTTACGAAACTCGCAACCTCTTGCAAGTAAACACAGAAATAAACATCAGAAAAATCTTCAATGTTTAACCGTAATGTTTATCGAATATAACACACACACGTCATTAATAAGTAATTGCTTATGTGTCTTTTATTTAACTAATATATTTTTAATGATATGTTCGAGTGGATTTGACATACCAATTACGAAAAGTGATACTAGTTGAGTACTCCACTAGTATCATAATAATTATATCATAATTACTAGTATCTATATTAATTCATATAACTAGTATCATATATTAATTCATATAACTAGTATCATATATTAATTCATGTAACTAGTATCATATATTAATTCATGTAACTAGTATCATATATTAATTCATGTAACTAGTATCATATATTAATTCATGTAACTAGTATCATATATTAATTCTCCGTAATACTCCACTATTATTCATTTTAGTAATTTGTAAGTGAAGTTGACTCGAACATATCATTAAAAATATATTAGACGTAGAAGACACATAAGCAATGACTTCACTCCCTCAGACAATATGTTACAGGAGGTAAACATTGGAGACTTGTAAGATAGTTTCTGCTGGCATCTTGGAAGAGGCAGAACTCTACTGTTCCATCTCCCAGGACAGACACACACAGTCTCCCACACTGAAGCGTAGACCAGCACTACCTAGTAACACGATTGTGACGTAGATTGACTCTTGTAACGTAGGATTTACAACGTAACTCTTGTAATGGTGTATTTCCCCAGTACATAAAGTAACGTTCCTTTTTTTACCACAGTCTTTTCATAGGGTTCTCGAAACACGAGTCTTTTCTCTTTTAACCAGAATTAAAAGGTCTTGTTTTCCCTCTTTCTCTCTGTTTACTATAATTATCATTAGTTTCTCGCTAAAACGCCTTCATTTAGGCTTGAGTTTTTTCCCCCCTGCTTGTAATCGATCCCGTAGCCACCGCTCAACCTACCTTATCAAGTAGCAACTTTAGGCTAACTTCAAGTCACTATTATCCCACATTGTGTGTTCTCTCCGTCTCCCTCTCTCTCATTAAACTTATTATTTACACAAAGTTGGATTAAATGCATGTGTATATATATATATAATTGTATATATTTATATTTTTAAACAAAGCGAGCTCTCAGGCAAGTATAGAGCGAGACACAAAAAAGAATTCACTCTACAAATGCTGTTATTTCTGCGCGTGATATTTGTAATATATATATATACATCGCTGCCTGTATTCTGTGGTTCCTCTTCAGGGTTCTCTCAAGAGGCAGATCTGTTTTCCTAGTTTGCATGAGTAATTTAAGGCTTTTGAATCAATGTATCTTCCTAGAATCAACGTTCAACACAATTTCAGGCAGGATACATTAACCCTAGACGACTGCTTACGTTTTTTTTTCACTAAATAAATTGATAATAATTAGATTTTGCTTATAATTCCCATTAATTAACAAGAGTTACATTTCCATGCCAGTTATTACGTAATAAAATAATAAATCTTGTTATTATACATAAATAATTAGATGAATTTTGGAACATGAGGGAACAGCATGCCTAAAAATATTGATTAAAAATAGCGTATTTGAGACCTTTTTGCTAATTTTCTTCAGTAACCCATATTTATTTTAAAAAATATCATATATTATAAAAGAAAAGAAAACGTACAAATAAAAAATAACTCTAAACTTGAGGAAATTATATCAGTATCAGAATTGAATTAATTGGAAATTGTGCATATACCAGGGATTATGTAACTTTTTTTATATGTATTTGAGTAAATATATCAGATTTTTAATGATAATTTGGAAAGCAGAAACTCGTACAATAATTTTTGTCTAATATTTTTAATTGCTGACTCAAAGGATTAACTCTCACCAGTTAACTTCTTCAGCAAATAATTTGTTTTCTGTAAGTGACTTCTACTTTTACTCAGTGACGTTAAGAAGTCATAATACTTTGCTCAGTGTCTGTAACTACCTTCACACTGAAGTTTTGTATTAATTAATTTCTTATACATACGAAAAATATTCGAAACAATACCCAATAAGAATAATATCCTTCCAAATTTAATCAAACATACAGATATAACTTCGTATTAGATTATCTTTACTATCATTATTAAAGAAGTTTCTCAAGACATTAAACAAATATTGCAATTATGTCGAAGTCAATAAAGCGTCTTAAATGATAATTTGCCTGAGAACTCGCCCTTGTAAGTAACTTTAGTCTCGCCCTCGACACCGTATCTATCTTACACTCGAACTAAGACAGTGTTACCCCTTCTTTTTGTTTCCTTAAACCTCTCGAGGGCCGAAGTGGTTTCAAGGTAATGCCCCCTTTGGTATTTTTTTTCTTGCACTTCTCGTATAAAAGCTCTCGCTCTCTCTCTCTCTCTTCCACCTCCTGCTTGCCATCCACCCCATCCTCGTCTCTGTTTTTTTAATAAACTCCTTAATCCCTGTTATTCTTCCTTATATGTGTTTTCAGTGTGTGTTTTCCCTCTGAATAGTCCCCTCACTTTCTCTATCTTTGCCTTCTCTCCCTCTTTTTCTGTATTCCTATCCCTCTCTCCCTCTTTTACTGTATTCCCATCCCCTCTCTCTCATTCTCTTCTCTTTCTTCCTAACCCTCTCTCTCTCTCTCCTCATTCTCTTCTCTTTCTTCCTAACCCTCTCTCTCTCTCTCCTCATCCTCCTATCCTCCCCCTCTTTCTCTCCCATCTCTCTCCCTCTCTCTCTCACTCACTCTCACTCACTTTGGCCCGTGTTCAGGAGTATCGTGTGCTTATGGTCAGTGCGCTTGGCTCATAGTGCTGGTAGCGGCGTTCACACAGCTTATTTGAAACTTGTTATATCATCAAATCAAACTTACGTTTATCAGTAAACTCAAACTAAACTCTTGTTTTTTTTTTCTTAGGGTGAGATACTGTCATAAACCTTTTCCTTCAATTTTTGATAATGATTATATATATTTATATGTATGTCTTTTTTTCTTTTCTTTTTATCTCTTAGACGAAGCTCTCTGCTTTGTCCATCTGGTCTGGAGGAGTGAAATGTTTCGTTTCAGGAATCATTAATAATGCCTTCAGCATGCTAAAGCTTCAGTAAAACGTCACTTTTGATATCAAATGAAGGCAGTTGGTATCAAAATTCATTTTATTGCATAAATTGAATTTGTGAATTATACTGTAGTTACTTATTTGACATTAATAAAGGGTGTCCCTATGAAATTTTAACGAAGCTTCGAATCAGAGCATTATTTATACATACAGTTTTAATGTTAACTTGTTGTTCGTTTAAAGCCAACACACATTCGATATACGTAAGGTTGGTATATTGAATTTTTGGTTTGATTTAAGGGAAAATATGAATTTGTGTTCAACTGTGTTTGTAAATAAGGATTTGAGTCAAATCTTCGTGTAGGTTTTAATTGAAACTACATATTAATGGTCAGGGGTTACAGCGATATGGGATGATTGTGTTGTTGGTTCATTCCTCCAGCACCACGGTGGCTTGTTCCTGTCTTGATTTTACCTAGCGAGCGCTGCATCGCATGACTTCTATGACATCATTTTGAGGTTGCTGGGAAGAAATCCCAAATTTTGCAAATATTTTTGAGCATTCGATTTTGGCAACCATATTAAGCAAGCCTTTATAAAACATATATATATATATATATATTTATTTATATACATAGATGTGTACATGGTGGGATTTTTATGTCTTGGTAATGACTTCTTATATATTTTTATGTAGTTGTAGGTGAACATAAAACAACCACCAAACACAGATTCATGACCTGATGGGACACCAAAGAGCTTGTTATAACACTTCACAACATGTTTGGCATGAGCATGGTCTCGAGTTATATCGCAAGTGAGCATGGCGTCGCCCCCTCAATGCCCCACTAACCCCAGTTCCCGCGCGATGCCCACACCAGGAGCGGGCTGACACCGAGTGGAAGTTCGCGCGGAGTAAGCTGTGGATCAGCTTCTTCGAGGAGGGAGGGACGTGTCCGCCGCCTTTCAACATCATCCCGACGCCCAAGAGCCTCTATTACCTCTTCCATTGGTTCTACAAGAAGTTCTGCGGTCAGACCAAGGCCGCGAAGAAGGAGCACATGAGGACGATTAGGGTGAGTGCTCTCTTTCTCTCTCTCTCTCTCTCTCTCTCTCTCTCTCTCTCTCTCTCTCTCTCTCTCTCTCTCTCTCTCTCTCTCTCTCTCTCTCTCTCTCTCTCTCTCTCTCTCTCTCTCTCTCTCTCTCTCTCTCTCTCTCTCCACTTTTATGTTAATATTTGATGCTCGAAATTGAGATTTAGTTCATCTTTGCCATCTCAATATTCCCATTCCCTCTGTACGTGAAGTAACTCTTCATCTTTAATATACTGTATTAGGTGAGCAAAATAACTGTTAATCGTGCTTCACTGTTCTATGGTGACTGGCTTCATAACCCAACCCACACGTACACTCCTTCGCCACTTTGTTCCGTACGAGTGGGTTGTGTTCCTTGTTCTACCCCGCTATTGTGGGCTGTTCTCTGCGATTTTCTCTCTGTGTTAACTGTTACACGGGCCCAGAACTGCACCCTGATACCGAGAATAAGGGATTCCAAAAGCTTTCTCATTTTATCACTAAAAAAGTGAATGGAGGAACTATGCGGAATACATTACTTTTTGCTCACACTCTACGTGATACAGTTAGACTCTGCAGCTGTTGTTACCTGACTTTTGTAAACATTGACGTCGTAACTTACCATAAATCACCTCCCTCCAGTACTTCAACTCACCATAGATCCCTTCATAACTGTATTTATCCGTAAATTCCGCCACTACTGCAGACTGTAATTCCCCTTCTAACAATAATTCACAATAAATCACCCCATTAAATGTATATATATATATATTATATATATATATATATATATATATATATAGTATATATATATATATATCATATATATATATATATATTATAATATATATAATCTTATATATATATATATATATTAATCCCCTATTAATACTATATATATATATTATATATCGATATATATCTATTAGTACTCGTTTTGTGGCTCTTTTATTTATATAGACATAGACAGATCTTAACACTTTTTCTATATAAACTTTAAAAATATTAGATTAAATCCAGAATTCTAGATAATCTTTAATTTATTAAGTATATTTTACGTATTCACAGGTGTTATTTTAAGATGTCTGAATTGATTGGAGATACTTAGATTTGTATATATAATATATATATATATATATATATATATATATATATATATATATATATACCTCAATTTTCTTGTGACTTTATATGATCTTTTAAACTCTGCACGCCCCCCTCGAATTAAATCATTTATGACCACTGTCTAAGGTGCCAGAATCATTATCATAGTGCCAAAACTGCTCCCCCCCCCCCCCCCTGGTGCCATAAATACCATGTTGCTGTAACTGCTACCATTTGTGTTAAACATTATCTACTACCATGTCAACTATCATCATTAACTACCAGAAATTATAGACGACATGTTTTGGGTGTTCATCTCCTTGGGTTATGTAACCTTGGAATCATAAGACTGTTTATTAGTATTTTGTTCTTGTTACATCAGTTTGGTGTCTAAAGTTGTTTATGTCCTTCGTTCATTTGTATTTGATTTCAGCTTCATGATCTATATTTTTTTATATATATTGTTTCTTCTAGTGAACGCATTTGTTAAATGTGATTTGACACTTTCGTCTCTCTCTCTCTCTCCTCTCTCTCTCTCCTCTCTCTCTCTCTCCTCTCTCTCTCTCTCTCTCTCTCTCTCTCTCTCTCTCTCTCACACCCACTTTATAATTTCATAAGCTATTGCTCTTCTTAACTGTATTTGTTTTAACTTTTACCAAAAAAATTACTTCTCTTTATCTTTATTGTAAATCTTATTCATATTATTTGAATTACTATTATTAGTCTTATTTAATTTTAGCCTCTCCGATGTTTACTGTTATCATTAACGATATCATTTTAATCTCTAGCAATTAAGAGTGGCATTCAGATCACACTTAAGTGATCATGTATGTTATCTTGACCAGGTGATAGCAAGATATTTGCTCCCTCTCCCCTCCCCCCCCCTCTCTTCTCTCTCTCACTCTCACTCCTCTACCATCCCTATAATCCTTCCCTTCCATCCATCATTCTTTCACTTGCCATCCCCTCTGCCTCTCATCCCCCTCTCTCTCTCTCTCTCTCTCTCCCTCTCTCTCTCTCTCTCTCTCCCTCTCTCTCTCTCTCTCTCTCCTCATTCCACGTTCTGGTGTGTGTGTATGTGTGTGTGTGTGTGTGTGTGATATCCTCACCTCCACACACTGTAGCAGTGGAGGTTTTAGTAGCAACCAGCTCCTCCACCTCCTCCTCCACATTTTTGATACCTCGTGTTTATACCTTGGCAGTCTAACCATGGCAGTTATTATAGCACTGTTAATTTGCACTCAAAATGTATTGTGTGTGTGTGTGTGTGTGGTGTGTGTGTATGTGTGTGTGTGGTGTGGGTGTGTGTATGTGTGTGTATGTGTGTGTGTTGTGTGTGTGTGTGTGTGTGTGTGTGTGGTGTGTGTGTGTGTGTGTGTGTGTGTGTGTGTGTGTGTGTGTGTGTGTGTGGTATGGTGTGTATGTGTGTGTGTGTGTGTGGTGTGGTGTATGTGTGTATGTGTGTGTGTGTGTGTGTGTGTGTGTGTGTGTGGTGTGTGTGTGTGTGTGTGTGTGTGTGTGTGTGTGTGTGGTGTGTGTGTGTGTGTGTGTGTGTGTGTGTGTGTGTGTGTGTGTGGTGTGTGTGTGTGTGTGTGTGTGTGTGTGTGTGTGTGTGTGTGTGTGGATTGAACGTGTGAGTTCATGTTTGAGCGTGAGTCAGCGTGCCTGAACGTGTCACAGCGTGCCTGAACGTGTCTCAGCGTGCCTGAGCGTGTCACAGCGTGCCTGAACGTGTATCAGCGTGCCTGAACGTGTCTCAGCGTGCCTGAACGTGTACCAGCGTGTCTGAGCGTGTACCAGCGTGCCTGAACGGGTCTCAGCGTGCCTGAACGTGTCTCAGCGTGCTTGAGCGTGTACCAGCGTGTCTGAGCGTGTACCAGCGTGCCTGAACGTGTCTCAGCGTGCCTGAACGTGTCTCAGCGTGCCTGAACGTGTACCAGCGTGCCTGAACGTGTATCAGCGTGCCTGAACGTGTCTCAGCGTGCCTGAACGTGTACCAGCGTGTCTGAGCGTGTACCAGCGTGCCTGAACGTGTCTCAGCGTGCCTGAACGTGTACCAGCGTGTCTGAGCGTGTACCAGCGTGCCTGAACGTGTCTCAGCGTGCATGAACGTGTCTCAGCGTGCCTGAACGTGTACCAGCGTGCCTGAACGTGTATCAGCGTGCCTGAACGTGTCTCAGCGTGCCTGAACGTGTACCAGCGTGTCTGAGCGTGTACCAGCGTGCCTGAACGTGTACCAGCGAGCCTGAACGTGTCTCAGCGTGCCTGAACGTGTACCAGCGTGCCTGAACGTGTACCAGCGTGCCTGAACGTGTCACAGCGTGCTTGAACGTGTACCAGCGTGCCTGAACGTGTCTCAGCGTGTCTGAGTGTGTACCAGCGTGCCTGAACGTGTCACAGCGTGCTTGAACGTGTACCAGCGTGCCTGAACGTGTCTCAGCGTGTCTGAGTGTGTACCAGCGTGCCGTAGTCCAGCATGTGACAAGCGATGGGCGAGTGGCATCACACACACTTGTCTCACGCCTCTGCATGTTTCTATTCTTTACAGAGGAAGGCTAGACAAGCAAGCGAGAGGGAGTTAAGATATCAGGTATGTTCCCCCGGCCTCCTCTCTCTCTCTCTCTCTCTCTCTCTCTCTCTCTCTCTCTCTCTCTCTCTCTCTCTCTCTCTCTCTCTCTCTCTCTCTCTCTCTCTCTCTCTCTCTTCTATTCTCTCTCAATCTTCTATTCTTCTTTACCTTCGTTTCTTCAACTTTTCTTACGCGATTCTTTATCAATCTCAGTTTCTTAAGTTCTGTTGTTTTTTCCCTTTACCAAGGTAATACTTCCTCCTGTCTTCCCTCTTCTGTTGGTTCACGATATCTTGGCCTGCCAACAAACTTATCGTCAGAGGCTGTCCTCGTGATTAACTGTCCTGCCTCACCTACTGCTCCTGCCTCACACTCGCTCCTCTCATGCCTGCCTCATACTGTCCTCTTGTTAGTGCCTCGCACTGTCCTCTCACTATGCCCTCCTCACACTGTCCTCTCACTATGCCCTCCTCACACTGTCCTCTCACTATGCCCTCCTCACACTGTCCTCTCACTATGCCCTCCTCACACTGTCCTCTCACTATGCCCTCTTACACTTTCCTCTCACTGCCGACTCATCGGCTTTCCTGTCTTGCGTTTTCCTCTCATCTTTCCTCCTACTGACCTTCCCTGCACGAGCGCCATTGTCATTAAAAGCTTGAGAATGTTCTTACTTTTGTCTATGGCTTCTCAAACTCTGCCTCTCGCTTTCCTTGTGCTCACGCCTCGCCCAAATGAAAGAAATATATATATGTATGTATGTGTATATATATATATATATATATATATAATATATATATATATATATATATATATATATATATATATATATATATATATATATATATATATATATATGTATATATATATCCTCTCCTGTCTCCTCTCTCACACTTAGAGAGAGGAGAAAGGAGTTGTTTTGTTTTAGATTCATCTACTCGGAATAAAATGTCATGTAGCACGGGCTATAGTGAGCCCGTAGAGAACAGGATTGATTGATTGATGAGAATTAAACCACCCAGAGGTGGCACGGGCATTAATAGCCCGTAAGTGGTAGAATTTTTTTTGGGGGGGAGTGAGGGGAGACAGTGTGCTGAGGTCGCACTTAACCTGCGACCTCACTTAACCTGCACTTAAATCGTCAGGCTGCTATCGCGGGGGAGGATACTGCTTGACAAGTGTTTATGAGGGTCTCCAGGTGCTGGACACCTTTTCTGACCAGAAGGGAAGAGAATTTTCAGGAGAAAGCACCAAGCCTTTACGACTATATAGCACTTAAAAGGGATCAGGATAAGGATTTGGGATGGGACGGAGGGAAGGAATAGTGCAATGTTGATGGCTTCAGGGTGGTTACTGCAAGATTCAGGGACTCTTAAAGTTCTTGGTTGTTTGACTTTCCAGAAGATAGTGAGGTAGTGGCTTTTCCGGGATTGTTTGGCAGAAGTTCTATTCCCTCTGGACTCATCTGTAACCTAGACGTAGTCTATATAACCGGACTGCTATTTCCCTGTTGATTCCTTTTGGGATATTTAACCTGTCTAACTTGGTGGCCTGAAGATACCATATTGCAGAGGACGAACCTTCAGCTACTCTTTGGTGTAGATGGGCTTTGTTGAGGTGTGAGAGTTTGTTGGTGTTTCTTATGTACTCTAGTCTGGGTTGGATTGTTTTGTGGTTCACGGAGGACGAGTTGCCAATTAAGAAGTTTCATCGGCTTTCTCATTTAATGGGATTCCAACAAGGGACGGGATCCAGTTTAGGTTATGTTGAGTCTTTTGCCTTCAGCTACTGCTCCATGATACAAAAATGGTAGTAATTAATTATTAGGCTGCTAGGGTGTTAGCTTGTGTGTACCATGCATACCATATACATATATATGAGTGGACCCATACCCTCGGAGAAGTAGATAGGGAGCATTCAGGTAAAAATTTGTATGATGGGGTTCACCTCACCCTGGGGATGGTTAGTCCTTAGTCGTAGAGAGGAAGGAAGTATAGGGTAAGATGGCAGTTGTCTAACGCGCCGGGTATCTTGTCCTCTGGGTGCAGGGAGGTCCATCAAACAGTTGCACGCTCGATGTAAAATTCATTTGAGAGTTAATTACTGGGCCAAGAAGATGACTTCAGGTGTTCGTTCATAGCCTCGTGTTCTCTTTATCACTGGCAGACTCCTGAAAAAATGTTATATTGTTGTTGACATTGAAAGACTCGCTGTTTATGTGCTTGAGCACAAGTTGACTTGACCTGACCTGTGATGTTGACCAGACCACACACTAGAAGGTGAAGGGACGACGACGTTTCGGTCCGTCTTGGACCATTCACAATCGACTTGAGAATGGTCCAGGACGGACCAAAACGTCGCCGTCCCTTCACCTTCTAGTGTGTAGTCTGGTCAACATACCTTAGCCACGTTATTGTGACTCCTCGTCTGATCTATGATAACCCGCAATGGCCCACCGTGACGTGAGTTAACGTGAGTGACGATGACCTGGAGTGACAGGCCGTGACCTCGCATGACCTGGCCCAAGTGACGAGTGCCATGTGGTGTGTGCCGTACACACATAGTTACAGTCAGTGCCATCACTATGTTTAATTAGAATGTCTCTTCTTTCCATGTAAAATAAAATTAATGTAAAAAATCCTCAAATAAAAAATGGATTATATATATATATATATATATATATATATATATATATATATATATATATATATATATATATTGTTTTTTCTCTTTTTGGTGTTGTATTTTTATGTGGTGGAGGGCATGTGTGTTCCAGCTTGCTGCGTGTTGATCCTCCTTTTCTCCCTTTTTCTCCTTAAACCCTTTCCCTCCCTTTCTTTTGCCTTCTCTCCCTTGCCTATACTTCCCTTCCCTTCCCTTCCTCGCTACTTCGTCGCCGTGTTGAATTCTCTGTGCATATATCTAATAGCCACTAACGTGTGTTGAGTGTGTGTGTGTGTGTCAATTTGGCCAATAATGATTTTCTTGCAGAGGCGGGAGCCCCCCGGGGAGCAGCGCCCCCCTCTCCGTGTCCGCTCCTCTGCTGGTCTTGTGGGTGTCTATATATATATATATAGGGCGCTGCTTAACTCTTTCTTCATATATGTGCTAACACAATTATTGTAGCTGATATGGAAAATATGAGTCAATTGCATATGTTAAAACTTGAGTTAGTATTTCACAGTTTTCATTTTTTTTGGGGGGGGGGCTATATTGTCCACTTTAATTTCTCCTCCCTCTCCCCCCTCCCCTCAGGAGCAGCTTGTGGAGAGCAGGATAAGTGCAATAACTTGCCCTTAAGTTTATATGCTTTAAATATGATCCCCCCTCTGTTCATTGGCCGAATATATTAGACACCAGATCTCTGCCCCCAATACGTTAATAAAAGCAACAATGCTGAAAATTTAATATTAGACATAATCATCTGGGGGTAATTATGGCACTACCTCATAAATCCCCTCTCCCACCCCATCCCCCCCCCCACAAAAAAAGTAATTGGTATGCTGTATGATTCCCTTCAATACCGGGGTCGACGTTTGTCACCCTTCCAGGGACTGTATCAACAAGAAAACAATCACGCTTCCTATTTGGCAAAACACGTTATGATAAAACACCACAGTTCGACGTGGGTTCGAACCCTCATTACGGCCCTTGTGGATTTGTTCAAAACTCCCACATGTTAGCAGCACTTAAACACACAAGACTGTTCACATTGAAAGCGAAGGTCAGGAGACAGCACTAAGGTGTTGACCAATCCACACACTAGAAAATGAAGGGACGACGACGTTTCGGTCCGTCCTGGATCATTCTCAAGTTGACAATCGACTTGAGAATGGTCCAGGACGGACCGAAACGTCGTCGTCCCTTCACCTTCTAGTGTGTGGATTGATCAACATACTTCAGCCACGTTATTGTGACTCCTCGCCTGCACACAGCACTAAGGTGCACACTGTAAACAATTGGTCATTTATTGGATAGGAATCAGGAGGAATTGCGGTGCGTGAGACACACATTGGAAGCGTCCGGCTCAGACCCCCACACATTGTGTTGCCGAATGTGTGATGTCTCTGCTTTTGTTCTGCTTGTTTAATTATACTGGCTTTTATCTTTGGCTTAGAGAGCGGTGTATGCAAGAAGTAGTAGTGGTCAGCTTACAGCTTTGGTCGCCCATTGGCTTTCTCTGTTGCAAATATAAATTTCTTGATTGTTTATATAACTTTTGACACATTTGGTGTTTATGGTGCATTCTCCTGACTAAAGAGTGATTATGCAAGCACGAAATCTTTGTAGCAAGCTTTTATTAATCAAAACATAATACCATACAGCTACAAATGCATAAAAACAACATTTTTTTTCCTACCTTGCAGCTGGTATATCTTCAGCTTACATTGCGAGAAAGCTGGAATCTCACTTCAGCTTCTAAACATAGAGGAAAGCCTGTTAATTCCTTTGGCTCATGAGCATCCAAGTCCCTGTGAGAGGCGAGAGAACACACACCAGCAGGAGTCTCCTAACGTTTACCTTCTTTCTGACAGAACATCATGAGGAACCTGGTGCGCCGGTACGTGACGGTGGAACAGAGGAAGGCTGAGAACCAGGGGGTGACGGAAGACGACGTCAATGAGATCAAGCAAGACATCTCGGCCTTCCGCTGTGAGCTGGTCGAGATCCTCAAGAACTCGGGCATGAACACGTCGACGGCGACCTCCACTGGTCAAGGTATTCTGCCCCGCGGTAGTAAGTTATCAACGCCCCTTCGTCCACGTCCACGCCTGCCTCTCCCTCTGTCCAGTGCCCACCCCCACCCCTGGAGGGTGGCTGTGCTGGGGGCCGCCCCTCAGGGGATGACTTCATGGCAGATCTTCAAGAGGGAAGGGAAGGGGGGTAGCAGCAGCAGCAGCATCTGAGCTGCGAGGCTGTGACCGAGAGATTTGTACCGTCTCTTGCAAGGAGATCTCTCCCGCCCCTGTGCTGTTGAGACAACACAGAGACTATGTTGAAGGGTAGCTAGGGGGGGCGGATGTTTGCCTGCTGGAGGCCATGTGCTTGCTTGCCTCATGCATGGTGGGGAGGTTAAGGTTACGCTCATGTTGGATGGCTTGCGCCATGTAGTCTGTGTGGCACATCTCAACCTTATTATCTGAAATTATGCAAATTTATGTAGCATGTGTTAGAAATTAATGAGAGGAAAGTCAAGAGATTGTTTAAGTCAAGCTATTAAATGTACGTCATTATAGAGCTTTTGTAAGTTTATTAATTTGCCAGAAATTGTGCCCTTTGGTCTTATGGGTACAAGACAAACACTGACCTCATCTCACAGGAGGCAACGTTGTTGTTGTTTTAGATTCAGCTACTTGGAACAAAAGCTCCAAGTAGCACGGGCTATGGTGAGCCCGTAGTGGCCTTACCCGGCACAGGAGCGGGGCTGTAACTGCAGGAAGCAACATTAATGATAAGTTATATAGTGATCAGCTCTTCTCGCCCGTGCCTTCATCCCAGCCTCGTGACTCTATGCTGGATTATATATAAATAGCGTCATGCTTCAGGCTGGGGTTTACGGGCTCACCATAGCCCGTGCTACTGGAACTTCTTGTTCTGAGTAGCGGAACCTAAAACAACAACAACTCAGGCTGGGTCCGGACAAAGTCGTGTCCTAGACACGGTCGTGTCCAGGACAGTTAGTGTGCCAGTGTGCCATGCGCTAGTGCACCATAGCTTGGGGGGGGGGTATGATATGGCACCTGCCATGTACGGCCAGACAGCCAGCCACCCTCCCGGCCGCCACACGCCCCCCATCCCGCGGTGTGTGACCTGTCTTGGGGGTCAAGACAGGTCACAAACACCGCCGCCTGGAGAGCGGGTTGGCTGGGACGGCACTCTTCACAGTATGTAAGTTTCCGGCCCTTCCTTCTCCTGTCAGCTGTCCCTAGATTTAGGATGTTGTGGTTTGATGAGAATTGGTTTATACAGTGACGGACCTCTAGAGGAGCTAGCGTACTTGATTTCCCTGCACCAAGCCAGCAAGGTTCCGGGAGCGGCGACGTCAGAGAGCTGCCTGCCTGACTGCCTGCTTGTCACCACCGCATGAGAGACGGCCCACTGGTCTCAGTCCCCCAGCACATGCCTCCAGTATTAAGCATTTGCCTAGTAGTGTAGTCTGTATGTCTCTCCCTCCTCGTATATTGTCCCAGTGCAGTGACTCAGCGTCCCACGCTCTTCCTTAGACTTGATGCATCGTTTAAACTCAAGTGCATCAACAACTAACATTCTCTTTTAATTTTAGACGGTTTTTTCTGTCTGTAAAGTAACTTTTTTTTTTCTCTATGGGCCTTCCATACGGCAGTTGATAACCACATTTTTCCCAGGTAGTGTTCATTATTTTGACACTAATTAGTACATGGTCGCGGCTCGAGGTCAGGCAACAAGGCGATCCCGTGCCAGTGTTAAAAGTCTGGTTCAGCTCCGTCAGGTCCTCTGATCACAATTTGTTTAACCTCTCCTAATAGAGAAACAAATAAAAATCTCGTCTGTGCAGCTACTACATAGTAGTAGTAGTAGTAGTAGTAGTAGTAGTAGTAGTAGTAGTAGTAGTAGTAGTAGTAGTAGTAGTAGTAGTAGTAGTAGTAGTAGTAGTAGTAGTAGTAGTAGTAGTAGTAGTAGTAGTAGTAGTAGTAGTAGTAGTAGTAGTAGTAGTAGTAGTAGTAGTAGTAGTAGTAGTAGTAGTGTAGTAGTAGTAGTAGTAGTAGTAGTAGTAGTAGTAGTAGTAGTAGTAGTAGTAGTAGTAGTAGTAGTAGTAGTAGTAGTAGTAGTAGTAGTAGTAGTAGTAGTAGTAGTAGTAGTAGTAGTAGTAGTAGTAGTAGTAGTAGTAGTAGTAGTAGTAGTAGTAGTAGTAGTAGTAGTAGTAGTAGTAGTAGTAGTAGTAGGAGTAGTAGTAGTAGTAGTAGTAGTGGTAGTAGTAGTAGTAGTAGTAGTAGTAGTAGTAGTAGTAGTAGTAGTAGTAGTAGTAGTAGTAGTAGTAGTAGTAGTAGTAGTAGTAGTAGTAGTAGTAGTAGTAGTAGTAGTAGTAGTAGTAGTAGTAGTAGTAGTAGTAGTAGTAGTAGTATAGTAGTAGTAGTAGTAGTAGTAGTAGTAGTAGTAGTAGTAGTAGTAGTAGTAGTAGTGGTAGTAGTAGTAGTAGTAGTAGTAGTAGTAGTAGTAGTAGTAGTAGTAGTAGTGGTAGTAGTAGTAGTAGTAGTAGTAGTAGTAGTAGTGGTAGTAGTAGTAGTAGTAGTAGTAGTAGTAGTAGTAGTAGTAGGCATCCATCAGCCTCAGGAGACTGATGGATTCACACTGCACATTGTAAACAATTGGTGATTTTACATAATCAACTACATAATCAACTGCCAATCCCCCCACACCTCACAAGTCCGTTTTCTGACGCACCACATAAATGGGCCGGGCTCTAATACACAATATAAATAACGCACATGTATTTATCTACAGCACTTGTTGTTTAGAGATAACTGAGCTTAGCCTGAGTGTGAACCACGGAAGGAATAGGAACGTGGGGGGGGGGGGAGCGAACCTGACAACTAACCAGTTATGGAGGCCTGAGCTGCCAGACTTGGTCACCCTTTGTGTACATAACGCCTCTGTGCCGACCTGTTCTGCTTCTCTTAACCGGAGAATTATAGACCCGAAGATACCGAGACATCTGTCTGCCGCCTTCTTGCATGCGTCTCCAACGACCTATTTCCCCAACTCCTAATGATCCAACAGTCTCATATGTACACGTACACATTCTCGCATGCACGCACGCACGCACGCATACGCATGAATGCACGCAATTAAATTCCATGTAAATATGCTTTGTAAGCTCGTTCCCTCACACACTAACACGTGCCACATATGATATATATATATATATATATATATATATATATATATATATATATATATATATATATATATATATATATATATATATATTTATATTGTAACTGGAACGAGTGAGAATATTTTAAAGAATAATTGAAGAATTTGTGTTACATCAGATACGTAAAATGAAGAAACTGGAGAGACAGAAACTGCAGGAGATAGAGAGACAAAGATATCTATTGACCAGACTACAAACCAGAAAGTGAAGGGACGACGACGACGTTTCTGTCCTTCCTGGACCATTCTCAAGACCATCGACTTGAGAATGGTCCAGGACGGACCGAAACGTCGTCGTTCCTTCATCTTCTAGTGTGTGGTCTGGTCAACATATTTCAGCCACGTTATTGTGACTCATCGCCTGCCTAAAGATATCTATGTACAGAAAAATAATGCAGTTAGACACCAACAATTTTCATATGAAACTTACAGTGGCCATCATAACCCCCGTGACGGGATATGGCATAGTGTTGTATGGCAACACCCTGCCATACAACAGGGTGTATGCCATACAAACCGCAGTGTGTATGTCATACAACGCTCGGTGTGTATGTCATGTGATATAACATGGTTATACTATACAACACATTTAGTGTATACACTATTCAGTCCATCAGATGTGTGTGTTATAGAAAACGGAATGTACATCTTGTCTGTATATCATATAACCCACTGTGTGTATACAATACAACCCACTGTGTGTATTACTAGGCCTACAACACAACACTGCATACACAGACCTACTAAGCAAAACTTGGCATACACCATACACGTAAAACTAGAGGTACGTATACACACACATACAACATATACACACCTGGCAGATAGACGTGACTTAATATGCCAGATATATCGCAGTATATATATACCCGTTCCGCTCATTACGTCTACCACGTCACTAGACAGACATTTACTGTCAAATTCTATCATAAATTATATGAAGATTGGTCCAATTTTATTCAGAATTGGACAATTCAATTTAATTGTTTAAGATTTGGTGGTGCAATTTATATTAGGCCTCAAACTGCTGACTCCTATTTCTTGTGAGATGCAGTGCTGTGATTACTGGTTTAAGAAACAGATTTTGTTCTTGTTTAAATTGATGGTAGTTGATGCTGGTCATAGTTACAATGATCATGATGATTGTAATGCTCAGGATCATTGTTCTTGTAATTCAGTCAGAATTGATTGTCTCTTTTTTATTGCATGGGTCATGTTTGTATCAGTCTTGGATGAATTTATTCAATTTGTATTTATAGTTTAATCAGCACCATTCTCATGTCTTTCTTCCTATTGTTTTGGAAATTTTATGTTTATACTAAGTGAGATCCTTCAAAAAAAAAATATTTGTAACTCTTAAGTCTATCCTGAGAAAATAGAAAATGTATCTTATTTACATTTGAAGAAAACGAGTTTCTCTAATGAAGTTATGGGACACTACTCTAGGTACTGGCGGCAAGAAGAACCGTCAAAAGGAGAGAAGACTCATGAAAGGATTCAACCTGGGCGTGAACTCAATAAGTTCTAACCTCAGTTTAGGAACGTCGACGGTCCTGCCCCCAACGGTGGAGGTAAGGAGTGCCTCCTGAGGAAGGTTTGTGACATAAAGCGACCGAAGTGGTATACTTACGCATGCTATTTCTCAGGTCTCAGTTGAATAAGTATATGGCTAAATATCGATATATGATAGATCCCCCATTAACACTTACTAAATGATTCCAAACATAATTTTCTTTCAGAATAACCACCTCACATATTAAGATTGTAAGTAAAGCTATGATTCCCCATTCGATAACTACACATCTGAAATCCCTCGATGAAATTATGATTTATTTTATCTCCTCTCACACCATCACCACCGTCGAGCTCCCCCACGAATGTTTACTGTTGGTTGACCAGACCACACACTAGAAGGTGAAGGGACGACGACGACGTTTCGGTCCGTCCTGGACCATTCTCAAGTCGATTGTGAATGGTCAAAAGACAATCGACTTGAGAATGGTCCAGGACGGACCGAAACGTCGTCGTCCCTTCACCTTCTAGTGTGTGGTCTGGTCAACATTATTTTGCCACGTTATTGTGACTTATCGCCTGCGTTTACTGTTGGTCCCCCTAAGTCCAGGTGCCGCAAATGTTAGTGTTAATGTGTGTCATGTCTCCAGGCGGACAGGTGGGGCAGGCTAGCCGACCACTACTAATGTTTCCTCGAGTAGTGGAGTAGTGACAAGCTCCGCTGCTTCACCCACTGCTCTTCTTCACCTACTCAACACCCTCCCCCCCCCTTTTACCTAAAAGAAGCAGACACCTTCCCTCAATGTTTATTTTTTTCTTAGCTTTCTTATGTCACAAGATACATTGCTGAATGTTTACCATATTATTTATAATGTACATCACAGTGTGTGAAATATGCTGAAGGATTTTGAAGAATATATTCATGAGTGCATCTTTTTCAACGGAAAATATATGTATTTCTATATATATATATAAATCATGAAACAGTTTATTGATTTTTTAAGGCGGAAGTTATCCATTTTCGTTGGCTTTGTGAGGGGCGAGTGCCCCTGGTGACTAGTGTGCCCTGGTCTCTGCAGGTGGCGGAGGTCGCCGTCAAGCGCTCCCCGCAAAACAAGCTAGCGCGGCTGGCCAGGCTGGCGGAGGCGAGACTCGGCCGCCCGACCAACAAGAAGCGTTGGGGCACGCTCGTCGAGGCCGCTAAGAATGCCAAAGTAAAAAAGTTATTATCCAGGTCCCGCTCCGACGAGTCGCTCTCCTCCGATCCTGGCAACGAGATGAACGGGGATTCAGAGGATGCTCGGGGCGGGACCGATACCCCGACGCCCCTGCAGAGCCTGCCCCCGGGGATATTAAGGGGCGGGGACGGCTCCTCGGAGGGCACACGACGGGAGCGGAGTGGGTCGCGGGGGAGCGGCACGATGCATCTGGATGCGGCGGCGCTGGTGAGCCAACACGAGACCACCAAGAGGCCGCCCAAGAACTCTGTGAGCTTTGATCAGTCGGCGCTCGCGGGCGCCAGCAGCAGCAGTCCTTCCCACTCATCCACCGAGACGGAGCCTCCGCCACCCTACCCACAGTGGCCTCGCCCAGTACCCACCGCCTCCAATCTGACGGAAACAAACCCCACCGCCACGTCGCCCTCGTCAGGTGGTAGTGGGTCTCTGCCGCCACTTGCAGTGAGCGAGTCCTCGGAGCCTCTGGTGAGCGGCGGTCCGCCAGCCAACGGGTCGGTCCAGCCGCCCCGTCTGCCTGGTATCCAGCCAGTCAACCGCCACATGGCCGCCGGGTGGCTCTGATCCTCGCCCCACACCCGCCTCCACCACTTTTTTACCACGGTAAGGCGGCTATATTGTAAAATTCAATTATTACCTAGCTCCTAATTTCATATTTGAAGATGTTGCTTCGTTTGCCAGAGTTTAATCCATTTGGGCCTATGCTCTCGACTGTCGAAGGACTGTTACTATGTTAGGTAAGTAATTATAAAAAGAAAGCACCATGCTTATTTATTTTGTTCAGGTTTTTGTACATCTCTGAATGCTGCAGATGTGCTGACCACACAGAGTGCAGCATTTTCTCTGGGATTGACGAATCGCTAGAATAATAAGGCCTTCTTTATTATTTTATCCTTATTTAGTAAGGATTGAGCATATGATTGATCAGTCATTCCTCTCGACTTGCAACAACGTATAGCAAATGATGTACTAAAAACTCCGAGCGACCCCACACTTAGAAAACGGGAATATTTATGATTAGCAATGATTTGTAGTATATCATATTTTGTCCGTTGGGGATTTTGACGTCAAGTGTGATTTATTTTCTCGAGAGGACAAGTTGTTCTGTTACATCGCCATAGGGCAGTGGCCTGGTTGAACCAAAGTGAGTGGGTGCTGCAGTGTTATAAATAGAGGAGACCCTAACCCAAATTGTGCAGCCTAGTGATGTATTTTTAGCTTGTAAACAAAGAGCGTAGTACCCTGTGGGCCTGAAGCACTACTCATCATTGTGGGTATGTAACCGAGCAGCTCTTCAAGGGGCTATTATCTAAATGTAGCAGTGCTGTCGTAGTACACCTGGCTTATGTCTCGATTCGCAATCGGGGGATCCTGGGTTCGATTCCCAGGAGGGACAGAAATGATTGGGAAATGAAATTGTTTTTCGACTACCTAACCTACCTAGCCTAACCTAATCTAACTTTTTCGGCTACCTAACCTAACCTAACCTAAAAAGATAGGTTAGGTTAGATTAGGTAGGGTTGGTTAGGTTCGGTCATATATCTACGTTAATTTTAACTCCAATAAAAAAAATTGACCTCATACATAATGAAATGGGTAGCTTTATCATTTCATAAGAAAAAAATTAGAGAAAATATATTAATTCAGGAAAACTTGGCTTATTAGGCAAATCGGGCCTTGCATAGTAGGCTGAGAAGTGCATTCTGAGGTACGACATATATATATATATATATATATATATATATATATATATATATATATATATATATATATATATATATATATATATATATATATATATATATATATATATATAAATGCATGCTTCATATCCCACTCCACTTTGTATTAAAACCTTAGATAGGGTAAATTCTCTATTTCAATGAGTAATCATTTATCAAAAATTTTACACTTTTTGTGATATAAAACAAGTAACTTCAGAATAATTATGCTAGGATGTATCACAATATATTTATTACCTTAATACCTCAAGTTGTCCAGTGGAAATATTAGAGCCTAAAATTTGAAGCATACCTGAGACAATAACACAAATCTTCTATGAACTTTATTCACACGCATCAACTGCTGCCCCCGAATGATTCCAATACTTTCCTTGCAGATTAAAAGCCTTTTGGACCAGCAGCAACAACAACACAAGCGCCCTCATCCACCACCATCTTTAAATAGGCCGAAAATTACCTTTACCCGCGCACTGGCGACCTGACACGCGACTCTTGGGCGCAATGTACCCTGTCACTGAGAGGGGTCACTCTTCCCCCGCCCCACAACCGGTCACCATCTGGGGGTGGTGGAATGAGGGGGACATTTTCCCCTCAGATAACCTGGTACAAAGTTCACAATTGCCTCATATGGACCGCGGTACTGCCTCCTTTACCGGGAAGCAACAGCGGAGAAATGGTGGGATCGAAGGGAGAACATACCCCCGTGTCCGAGTTCGAAGGACATATGCCCTTGTTCGTGTTCGACCGCAAGTTTTATACAACTATATCATTGTGGCGGTGTTTATGAATATGTGGGAGTGCACAGGAGGTGTGGTGCAGGATCCTGAACATTTCTGACTTTCTTTAACTGTATGACACGGCTGAAAATATATATATATATATATATATATATATATATATATATATATATATATATATATATATATATATATATATATATATATATATATATATATATATATATATATATATATATATATATATATATATATATATATATATATATATATATATATATATATATATATATATATATATATATATGAGTGTGTGTGTGTTTAGGGATTATTTCATATATTATATTTAACTGATACAGTGTTGAGATGTTTGTTATATTATGCTAATATGGTTAACACTGAAGATTTTAATGGAGAATGTATATAGTTTTTGGTAACTTTTAACTAGATTAATGTACCCTAGCGTGAGACATATCTTACGCGCTGGCTGAATGACCAATAGATAAAGACATTGAGCTGAAATAGCGTTGTATGTCATACACCAGTGAGAAGAAAATAGAGTGTGGCGTGGGATAAATTTGTGTTTACATAACAGAAAATGAGAGAAAATGGTAATGGGGCAAGGAAAATACGAATGTGTTCAGTGATATTAAAACGGAGCCCCGTGAATGGATAATAGTGCACAGTTATGGAAGCCTGTGTAGAGAGAGCTAGAAGTGTGGGTACGCTGTACGACGCCCGGTACGCTGTACGACGCCCCAGACGACTGCACTGTCTGAGCGTCTGACTAGGCTCATGTTCGTGGACTCTAAACTCATTCAAGTGAAGAGTAAATATAAGTGTAAACAATTAAATATAACACGGGTTGAGATGTACATAAAGAACACATGTATTGCTTTTTATAACGGACATGTTTCTTCATTTTCTTACTCTGTTAATGAACATAATAAGTAATGGTGTAAAGCGTTAGTATGTATATGTATATATATATATATATATATATATATATATATATATATATATATATATATATATATATATATATATATATATATATATATATATATATATATAGTATATCCTTTTGCTTGCAATACCGAAAGATTTTTAGGAGCCATGCGAATGAGTGCAGGTGGTGCTATTTATATAATATATGGGTTCCTTGGTCGGTTTCAAGGAGTAATAAGATTACTTACATGTACAAGCCTGAGGACATTGTTTAGTCTAAGGCTTCCCTGAAATGTTTGTACAAGAGCGTTTTTTACACTATTAAAGAAAGATTTAAGGTGGACTTTCCGCCGCTTTAGGGGTACTAATCAGGAAACACTTAGGTAGGAAATTTCGTACACAATATATTTGTGTTGAGCGGTTGTGTTGCCAGGCAATCACTTTCCTACTCCAAAGAACACGCATTGGTGAACAAACAGCGACATATCTCGTTGATACTAGTCTCATAATGTCATTATTCTCGTCGTTCACTTCATCGTCACTAGATATAGCTATTAGCTGTGTTGCATATTTACAAAAATGAAGAGAGTTTCGGATGGCCCTTAAGGGGAGACAGGGTTCACCTCTCGCTCTCTTCTGTGTTCCCTTGGGTCCTTTATCAGGACCTATGGGGAACTTAACTATCTCTTCCTCCTCAGCATCATCACTTCCCTTCTCATACTGATCTTCCCTTCCCAACCGGTGTTTTGATGGCGGGAGAAATTTGAAAATTTAAACCAAGTGCTCGGGCGGGCGGCGGGTGAGCCTAGGCTTCCCGCCACCGCATCACGAGCATAAAGTCTTTATCAAGACGTCTGGGAGAGTTGTTACTTCCTCGAAGGGGGAGACACGTGGTGGATAATGTATCACACGAGCCTTACGAAGGGGTGATCATAGTGCTAAATGTTCTTCTGAATGGCTAGGAGAAGTGAGCCTTATTATTATGTGGAGGACGAGGCTTGGAAAGCCTATGTGGTGTTTGTACCCTGCTTACCTCCCTCATCCGCTAGTAATATATATATATATATATATATATATATATATATATATATATATATATATATATATATATATATATATATATATATATATATATACATATATATTTCCTTTTCTATCTTTTTGCAACGAACACTTTTTAAAGTATGTTATGAGGTGATAATCTCTTGTCAGTGTCAAAATTATGATAATTTTCCTTGTTTGTATTACCCTGTAGCTATGTATATATATATATATATATATATATATATATATATATATATATATATATATATATATATATATATATATATATATAAAAGAAATAATGCCTTTTTATACGCATGGGTAAGAAGACTCGGTCTCCAGAAGTGACCAAAACAACACAGGTCGCTTACACTGGGGCTACCAGGGTGGACGGGCTTTTCAAGTGAAGTCGTCGTTGCGTTGATCGCTTTCCCCGCGGATCTAGACCAAAGGCGCCACTTGAAGGTGGCTGCTATAGGAGCACCACTCCTAATGAGATCATCTGCCCACCATATTTTTATATCACATTTGATATGATGCAGTAACTAGAAGGGTGATGGGAATAACACAACGCCAAAGTATGTCGAGTTGATTCAGCAAGCACCTCATCATCCCAACTGTGTCTGGCGGGTGGGATCATCATGGGTTAAAATGTTTTATAATGGTTGCTAAAGGTGAATATAGTCCTGTTGGCTCTCACACACACTTCCCTATGGCGTCAACCTATTTCTAACTTATTTAAACAAATCTTTTAATAATAAGGTTAAGGACTTCTACGTAATCAAATGTTTATTGAAAATATAAGGGATTTGTACTTGTTCAAATCTCTTTTTACTAAGAAAGTTCATATAGGCTTGACCTTGATTCAGGGTGGTGTGAAGGTCTCACCATTTTGGTGGACGAAATACTCTGGTGTAAAGGACAAGAAGAGTATATTTGATTTCTTTTGCAACATTGATCTGTGTACATATTTATCCATAATTTGTCACTGATGTTTTTACTTGGTTATTTCTTAATAAATATATATATATATATATATATATATATATATATATATATATATATATATATATATATATATATATATATATATATGTATACATATTACTATTCCGATATTAATTTTTCTAGTCATGCTGTTTTGTTAGTTTAGCGAGTACGTAACTGCGACGAATGGTTGACAAATCTTAACCCGCCTTTTGGTCCACACCAAGCTACACCCAGCGAACAGAATACACCCTGGTGTATTGTATAGCTCTCGGACGTAGGTTCGAATCCACGTCACGGCCCTTGTGGATTTGTCCACCCTTGTGTATCCACACCAACCTACACAGTGTCCAGACCTGGTTCATCAGACACTAAGCCTTCTTAAACAAAATATCAGCTTCGCATGCTAAAGCGTTTTTAAATTACTTTGTCGTTTACGGGTCGGCTAAGAAAGACCAATGCAGAGATTAGTGAGAGAAAGTGTATCGGAAAGTGGCGTTCCAAATCAAGGAACATAGATGAACTAGGCACAAGTAAAGGGTGATAAAGTTGGTGTACGGATGAATGTGTGAGGTGAAAGCACGATCAAACTTCTCTTAGAGAATGTTGTTAACAGCGCAAGACACGGAAGAGAAAATAACGAGGGAAGTGAGAGGCTGATGAAGAGTGTATACCTCTTCATCCCCTGATGAAGAGGGGCTGAGTAAGAGTGTACACTCACTCACCCGCAGCCTAGTCATCTTTATAGCCTAAGTCATTTACTTTTCAAAGTCCTTGTTCCCTTCCTGAGAATTCTGGTAATTTTCACTCGTTTATTTGAATGGTGTAGTACTTACACAGTTCGGTAATGATTCTCTGTGGGAATCATGCGTTATCTGTTCATGTAGAATACATATCTTGTCTATTTCGAGGTGAGAGTTTTAGGCTGTTATATATATTTTGAATTTATTTTCTATTTTTTAACCAATGTGAAAAATTTGTTTATATATAAATATATATGTTTATATATATATATGTATATATATATATATATATATATATATATATATATATATATATATATATATATATATATATATATATATATAATATCATGTGATATTTATACGTTGCTCTGTTGAAAGCTCCATGGAAGAGTTGACTATAGTGAAGCTAAGAGGGGGGGCTCATCCACTTCCCACATTTTCACTCACGCTCGTGCACGCACGCATACAAACACACACACACACACACACACACACACACACACACACACACACACACACACACACACACACACTCACTCACTCACTCACTCACTCACTCACTCACTCACTCACTCATTCACCCCCCCCCCACACACACACATTCACATCCCCCCCACCCCCACCCCAACACATAAAAACACACTGGAACTAATAATCTAGAGCACTTGGATAAAGATTTAATATATTGATACAGTGAGCCATAGGCACCCTATGTTTATTTTCGGTATATATACCTTTTGTCGCACAACACACAGGTTCTTGGTATGTGTCGAACTGAAACTACAAAAGCGCAGCCACATTACGCTAACTTTCCATACTAGTGGGATTACGCACACTTTCCCCCACACATTAGTGGGAAGAAAATGTGTAAACACATTTGATACTGTAAATAAGCGTCCCAACTGGCTTTGTCTAGCTCTATAAGCCCTAAACAGCCGTTTAGAGACCGATAGTCGAACTCTCCATAGTAACAACAACACATGTCACTACAAACGGGTTTCACTAAGGCGTCAGCAACACGCCATGTGCGTGTGTGTGTGTGAATCTGAGGAGTTACCCCATTTACATGCTCATAATGTAAATTACCTCTTCCTGGCCCTGTACAAAAACAAAAATGTACCGTTTTCTGCAACAGCCGTAGAACTGAGGCAGCGCCGCCGTATAATTGTTGGACAAATGCATGGAATGGTTCGAGTACCTGAACGAGATGAACAAGCCGCTTTAACGAGTGTCTGTGGATGAGTCTGTGATATGAAACTATCTGTGTACCTCTGTACATCCCTTCATGACGACTGAAACTATCTGTGTACCTCTGTACATCCCTTCATGACGACTGAAACTATCTGTGTACCTCTGTACATCCCTTCATGACGACTGAAACTATCTGTGTACCTCTGTACATCCCTTCATGACGACTGAAACTATCTGTGTACCTTCTTACATCCCTTCATGACGACTGAAACTATCTGTGTACCTTCTTACATCCCTTCATGACGACTGAAACTGAAATTTGAAACGGGTTCGGCTTACCCACTTTGGATCTTGAAGGTCAAGGTGGCATTCATTATTTTTTAACTGGATCATCACTGTAACATTATATCGTCACTGTATCATCATTGAATCCGTATTTCATCAATGTGTCATCACTGTAGCATTAATGTATTATCATCAAATCAATTTCATCGCCATATTGTATCATCACTGTACTGTATCATAAATGAATTACTGTATCATTATTATTTAACTGATTCATTTGTGTATCACTGTATTATCACTTGACATTGTCATTGTATTACTAATGACTTATCAGTATAATGTACCCAGTTACAAACCTATGTATCGCCACAGAATCACTACTGTACCACTGTGACACTACTCGGTCACTACTGTATTCCCTGTAACACTACTCGGTCACTACTGTACCCCCAATTCATTAAACAAAACCCCAAATTGGATCATACGCCATAACTATTCAATTACTGTATCGCCATTGTAGCATCACTGTATCATGTAGATACAAGAACACACAAAATAATTATGTATTACTTCCTCTGCTCGTTTTCACAGCGTCGATGTGTGTGTGTGTGTGTGTGTGTGTGTGTGTGTGTGTGTGTGTGTGTGTGTGTGTGTGTGTGTGTGTGTGTGTGTGTGTGTGTGTGTGTGTGTGTGAGGCGGACTGTCAATGCATCACAGGTGCTGACAAAAAAAAGACGTATTTTGAGTTGATATTTTGTGAATTATCATTACTAAAAATTGTATGGTAGATTGTACACGACCACGAACAAACCAATAAATATATGGAAGAGACATGAGTGTGTTTTTCTCCTCTGTTTCCCGCTACTCATCTTTCTGTTCTACTCACAGTAGGCTCTGGCTATTTTTTTCAGTTTCAGTTCAGTTCCTGAACCGATTATGTGCCTCTGTAACCCTTTCCATCACATCGGGATGGGTATGGGGTGCATAATAGATAGAAATTGAATTGATTGAGACAATAGGTATCGATATGTTTCAATGTTATGTGCATAAGTTGTCATAAGTTTTCCCAAAATATGTGTAATATTCAAGTAAAACAATTACAAAAATATACAAGTAATATCTGAAAATTTGTTGGGGTCAATAGACATAATTACTGTTTCAGTAAAACAATTGCAGTTAAAGATACAATTCCATAATTGCAGTTAAAGGTACTTGAACAAATAATCATAGTCACAGAAACGTGTTACGATCTAATCCACTGATTTCAACTACAAACTTGAAGTGTTCACTGAGATCAAAGGTGAAATTACGTTGAACTTTGTAAGAGAGAGTGAAACTAAATCAATTTTTGAAAGTTACCTGTTATATGTTCTATGTTAATCCCAAATCACTTATCAATTGAACTCTTCTTATTAATAACAATGTCAACCTCCTAAGTAGCGCTACACTATAACATTTATGTAGACTATCTTCAACTAATAATATTAGGCTACATCCACGTCATCCAGACTTCTACGAACGTCAACTCACCCCCAATATGTTTGAGTATTATATTACAAATATTCAGATGAAAATAGTCATGATTATCTCAGTATTAGATAAGGCATGATGATCATCTAAGGAGATTGTAATATATAAATATGACTTATTCCGTTCGGGATAATCGTCAACAAATGAAATGCATTCACTTTCTTATGAGTGATCATCGAACATTAGTTTCTGAACAAGACTGCTCGTTTAATCTGTACTTGTATATCTTCGCCTAATTGATATGTGTAATTTTTTAAGTCTATGTGTTGTTCAGGATACGCTAACTCAACGTTTGTCAGGTTCACTGAATTGTTCAAGAGCACCGCTTGACTTCTTCAAGAATTACAGGCTCACCATAGCCTGTGCTACTTGGAACTTTTTGTTCTGAGTCTAAAACAACAATAACAACATTCTTCAACAACACGAGGACTAGATGAAGGTCACATAGATCTATAGTTGTTCCAATGTTGACATTTCGCATTTGTCTGTCGTTTAAATGTGTTTGTATACGTGTATTTGTTCAAGTGCGCATATATAAGTGCACTTGTGAATGTGTACTTGTGTAAATGTAAGTGCACATATGCGCAAGTGTACTTGTATATGTGTAAGTGCACTTGTGTGTACCTGGTTGTTAACCTGTGTAAGTATACCTGGTTATACATACTCATGTGAGTGGACCTGAGTATACTCACACGGGTCGTGTACCCGTGTAAGCGTATCCGTTTAAGTGTACCCGTGTAAGTGTACCCGTGTAAGTGTCCCTGTGTAAGTGTACCCGTGTAAGTGTACTTGACAATGCCTTGGGTGACGCCACGTTCGTTGCTACGTCTGGCAGCGAGGTTCACTCCCCCCCAAACTATTTCGTGAACTTTTCCTCATAAAGTCATTAAACTGGTATAATTATTGTTGTTGTTTTTCTAATTCCTCTATATACTTACTTTAGTGTTACAGGTCTCCTGTATTAAGTATATTGACGAGATTTCTTATTCAATATACAGCTGTTACTAGGCCTCCTCCTAGCTGTTACTATTGCTATTAATGCTGATTCTACTTGTACTGAAACAGCTACTGCTGTTTCTATTACTACTACTATTGCTAGTAGTAGTAATTACTACACCTACACATTTCTTACAACTGTCTATTGTTGCTACTAATCCTGTTGCTACTACCGTTAATGCGGTTAATACAACTATCAATAATAATAATAATAATAATAATAATAATAATAATAATAATAATGAAAACAAAAGTTTTTTGGAGCTAAGGTGATTGTATTAGTCAATAATAATCATCATTCAACAATAGCAAGCCGTACGACACTTTGGGCTGGACACGGTGGCGGGCGCCGGAGGCCGCCGCTGTGGCAAGTTGAAGTTCCCTACAGCAGGAAGTACAAGTTCCTACAGCAGGAGGTACAGACGGTGTATCGCTGTATTGACGTTCCTACAGCTGCAGGAGGAGGAGGAGGTTCACCGTGTGTTGAAGTTCCTACAGCAGGAGATATACAGTTACGTCTCCCTCCTCGTATTCAGCAGTGGATAGGACTCTGTATATCTCTGCCTCATGTATCTATAACCTCTAATATCTCCGTAAGTGCTCCTAGAATTTTAGAAATACCTATGCTGTAAAAGTTATGAACTATTGTCATACATCTGCTGTAACTCCTTGCTTCAGAACTGCTCATTTTGTAGTAATTTTTCCTTGTTTCGTCCGTAAGTTAAATTAGAGCCCAAAATACTGCCTTCAGGGATTCCTTAATAACAAAAAAGTATGAATGCAAGAGGAGATAAGTGGCGGAATAATACTCATGTTAGTACTAAATATTAAATGTAACTTGTCTATTTATATAATATGTTCCTATACTTTGCTCTTAAGTCGTGTGGCCATTTTTTATTTATTCATTAATATACATCCTAGACCCATCCCGGGGGCACATAGGAGCTCCAGGAATACAACTACAATACTTGTTTGGCTAAGCAAGTTAAAGCGAAAATTATATAATTAAAAAAACAAATTGTAGTTGTGAGTCAGTTGGTACCGAAGACTAGGCTTCCAAGGGCGATCATTTTTTACACCTTGAGAAACGTAATGAATTCTGCTAGTGAAGAATGTTTCTAAGCTAATTTGTGTCGATACAAATTTAAGGAACATCGGCAGGTAGTGTGTGTGTGTGTGTACTAACCTAGTTGTGTTTGCGGGGGTTGAGCTCTGGCTCTTTGGTCCCGCCTCTCAACCGTCAATCAACTGGTGTACAGGTTCCTGAGCCTACTGGGCTCTATCATATCTACACTTAAAACTGTGTATGGAGTCAGCCTCCACCACATCACTTCCTAATGCATTCCATTTGTCAACCACTCTGACACTAAAAAAGTTCTTTCTAATATCTCTGTGGCTCATTTGGGCACTCAGTTTCCACCTGTGTCCCCTAGTGCGTGTTCCCCTGGTGTTAAATAGCCTGTCTTTATCTACCCTGTCGATTCCCTTGAGAATCTTGAATGTGGTGATCATGTCCCCCCCTAACTCTTCTGTCTTCCAGCGAAGTGAGGTTTAATTCCCGTAGTCTCTCCTCGTAGCTCATACCTCTCAGCTCGGGTACTAGTCTGGTGGCAAACCTTTGAACCTTTTTCCAGTTTAGTCTTATGCTTGACTAGATATGAACTCCATGCTGGAGCCGCATACTCCAGGATTGATCTGACATATGTGGTATATAATGTTCTGAAAGATTCCTTACACAAGTTTCTAAATGCCGTTCTTATGTTAGCTTACCTGGCATATGCCGCTGATGTTATCCTCTTGATATGAGCTTCAGGGGACAGGTCTGGTGTGATATCAACCCCCAGGTCTTTCTCTCTCTCTGACTCCTGAAGAATTTCGTCTCCCAAATGATACCTTGTATCTGGTCTCCTGCTTCCTACCCCTATCTTCATTACATTACATTTGCTTGGGTTAAACTCTAACAACCATTTGTGTGTGTGCGTTTATAGTGTACAATGTGTGAATTTATGACTTGGATAAGCACGTTACAGTGGTAGTAGTTTGATTACAGTAGTCTAAAATTACAGTAGTGATGTACAGCTGTTAAGATTTTAATTTGCAGGCAGTGTGAGACATAGATTTAATGTACTATATACTACGGTGAGGCAAACTTAGGATTTTTGGTACATAATTTTTGGAGGAAATTTAAAACAAGATTTCTCAACATCAGTGTTAAGTTATTGGTAAATTATTGGGTTTTGTTCAGTCAATTACGTAACATCTAAACTACACACGACCATCCTTGTCACTAATCGTCTTCACGACATACTGTCTTTAGCACTATAATATTTTTCACACTCCAGGTAGCCCATATACGACCATCATCATCCCTACCTTCCTGCTCCGTCACCACCTTCCCATCTGCCTATCACCGCTTTCCCCATTCTTCAGCATCTTTTTAAATCTTCACCCCCCTTTCTCTACCCTTCACCACCTTCCTTACTCTTTACCACCTTCTCTACCCTTCACCACATTCCAAACCCTTCACCACCTTCTCTACTCTTCCCCACCTTCCTTACCCTTCACCACCTTCCCTATCCTTCACCACCTTCCCTACCGTCCACCACCTTCTCTACCCTTCTCCACCTTTCCTACCCTTCACCACCTTCCCCACCCTTCACCACCTTCCCCACCCTTCACCACCTTCCCCACCCTTCACCACCTTCCCTACCCTTCACCACCTTCCCTACCCTTCACCACCTTCCCTACCTTTCTCCACTTTCTCGATCTACCATTCATCAACTTCCCAATCTTTCACCACTCTACCACTTTCCCTTCATCCTCGTAACCATTTTCACTAAATATTTTTATCAATTAGCTGCATAATTGAAACTAACATTTAAAATGCTAGATGAATCGTGAATCTTAGTGAGGCTGGAGTTTTTTTATAACGAAAATTGCAAGTCAGTGCAATTGCCATTTCATGCAAAGGGAGAGGAGGGGGTTTCATGCAAGAGGGTCTCGTCCCCGATCCTCTTATGACCATCCTTGAACAAAGATTAGTCACCCGTCAAAGTTTAGTGAGGCTCGCCCCAAGCGTCTGGCCCCAAGTTACTGCCCCGCTCCTGTGCCAGGTAAGTCCACTACGGGCTCACCATAGCCCGTGCTACTTGGAACGTTTTCTTCCGAGTAGCTGAGTCTAAACAACAACAGTCTGTCCCCAACTTCGAGACCTGACAGACAGACCAATAAGGGTTATTTTTAATTTCGGATGCTTCCAAAGTATACAAAATGGATATTAGTCCCCCACAAACTTTGCTTTGACCTTTGCTGTCGGGAATATGTCTTGAAGATCACTTGAAGATTGCCGACTCCGTATCAAGACAAATTATCGAGACAAATTATTACAGTTTGAGGGGGGGGAATAATAGTAGTTTTCTATACTTTGGAGACATAATCAATTAGAAAATAATAGTACTACACAGGGACAAAAATAGTACAATTTGTTACATAGCGAAAGCACTTGTGCCTTTGACACAGAATGTAGCCATTGGTCCCGAATACAATTATTACACCATCTCTAGAGGATCTGTTTCCAATTATCACTACGACCTATTGGCCATACATACAATCATTAATGATTGAATAAATCAATTATACAAATTACAATTGGTGTCACGGTCCATTATTCATATTATTCCCAAACTTATCCTGACAAAGGACTACTACCCCCATTACATCCATTACTATTTCTACTATTATTAATATAATTTTTTTAATCAATAAAAAATGTTAAACCATTTATGTATAAAATTGTGAATAAAAGATTAATATTAACTACTACTACTCCCAATGTGAGGAGTAGTAGTTATTATTACCAATAATAACTACTATAACTATATAACTATATAGTTATAGTAGTTATTATACTATAACTTCCATAATTTTTAATTATTATTATTATTATTTGCAATTTTACAGTACTATTGCTACTACAATTATTACTATTAAAAATAATGTTTATAAAAATTATAAGAATATTAATTTTAATAATAACAATAATATACAATATAATAATAATAATAATAATAATAATAATAATAATAATAATAATAATGTCATTACTATCCCTACTAATATTATTTGTATTTCATGTAGTGAAAATGGAAATCCTGTAGTAGTGGCACTGGAAGATCGACTGGGAAACATACTTCGAGAGGCTGACGGCTGGAAAGTAGAATTGTGGCAGAGTGACTTTTGGGAGATGATGAGGGAGAAGGAAGAAAGGCAGGACAAGCCGGCGGGAACCGAGAAGCCGTTGTGGGAGCTGGTAGCGTCTTCCAAGACCAAGCCAGCCTTTACCAAGCGTCTAATGGTCTCTTTAGACGTCTTCAGGTGAGGCATGGACACACACACACACACACACACACACAAACACACACACACACACACACACACACACACACACACACACACACACACACACACACACACACACACACACACACACACACACAGATGTGACCACAAAATAATTAATCCTATCAAAGAAGAGCAAACTTCTAAGTGTGTCAAGATACAAAGGCGTAGTTCAAAGATACAAAACTGTCATTTGTTGGAATTTATCTCAACTATACAATAATGGGAGACTTCAACAAATAGATTGGAAGAATAAAGAAGCACATGAGGACACAGATATGTGGGAGGTAAACTATTGGAAGCAGCAGCGATTAATTACCTAAGACAATATGTCAGGGCATAGACAATATGCCTAAGACAATGTCAGGGCATAGACAATATGCCTAAGACAATATGTCAGGGCATAGACAATATGCCTAAGACAATATGTCAGGGCATAGACAATATGCCTAAGACAATATATCATATATATTCCCACAAGAATGAGTATTAAATGACGAACCAGCAAGACTTGACCTGGTATAAGTGTTAAAGTGATCATTAGGTACTGACATTTGAGTCTTTGGTGTAAGTAGGAATTATAGCTGTTCACGAAACGGTGCAGGAGGCCCGGAAGACATCTAGATGAGGCACAAACATTGCATTATAACATAGCAATAACGTTATATGCAGCCTGATAGTTCACCTATTACTGTACTTGTAAAAAACCTGTCTACTTGTAATGTATTCTAATTAGCCTAACCAAATCTCTCCTAAGAGTACATAAGACAACCACCCACCCTGTTCTCCCTCACGGAAAAAAAAAAGAGTGCGCAGGCCGCTACTCTCCTAAGAGTTCTCGCTATTCACTAAATGGCCCATTATAGTTTGTAAATTTGATTGTCATATTTATTAATTTATCTTTTATCTTGAACACAGTTTCTCGCGCACTCTCCGTTGCTTTCCCTCTCATAAGAACAAATTTCATGTTGAATGACGAGAGTGGAGGGATCACCTTGGACTAGGCTACCAGTACAATTTGAATGGAGAGTCGATCTGAGGGGAACTTTTACTACCTGAGAAAGGCTGTCTCAGGTAGTAAAAGGTTATCTTACTTTCAAGAAATATATTTCCTCTATATTAGGCTACCTTCAAGAAATATATTCCCTCCCTATACTAGGCTACCTTACTATAGGAAGGCATGCATTTACTCCCTATATTAGGCTACCCTACTGTAAGAAATGTGCCCTCCACACATATTAGACTACCTATGGCCAGAGCACAAGTGAAGAGTGTGTCTGACCTTACAGGGAGGGTGAGAACGAGGCTGTGTGGTGGACCGCCTGTTGGGTCTTTGTCGTCGCTGCTGTCTTCTCCAGGCTTCACTACATCACCATGCCCTACAAAGTTGTGTGAGTACCCCCCCCCCCCCTGACATGCCCTATTACTTCACCATGCCCTACAAAATTGTGTGAATACCCCTGGCATGCCCTATTACATCACCATGCCCTACAAAATTGTGTGAATACCCCTGGCATGCCCTATTACATCACCATGCCCTACAAAATTGTGTGAATACCCCTGGCATGCCCTATTACATCACCATGCCCTACAAAATTGTGTGAATACCCCTGGCATGCCCTATTACATCACCATGCCCTACAAAATTGTGTGAATACCCCTGGCATGCCCTATTACATCACCATGCCCTACAAAATTGTGTGAATACCCCTGGCATGCCCTATTACATCACCATGCCCTACAAAATTGTGTGAATACCCCTGGCATGCCCTATTACATCACCATGCCCTACAAAGGTGTGTGAGTGCCCCTGTCATGCCCTACTACATCATGCCCTACAAAATCGTGAGTGCCCCTGTCTTCTAGTCAATTCACTCACAAATTGCAACTGCAATCCCTAACCATCCTATAGAAAGCTGACCAATTACTGCAATATCCCATGGCGTGCTACAAGATATAACTTAAGCACTCCTGATTTTGTCTTTTTGCAGTTACAATAATATACAATTATAACTATTCTAAGAATAACTCAGCTCTACGAATTTTAGTTTAATTCAATGAATTAAACTAAAATGCACCCCAAACCCATCTTGTGAGCGGTGGTGCAAAGGCTACAAGGGAAAGCCTGGTTTGTGCCTCGGAGAGGCTACGGGATCCAGTAAGTTCAGTAGAACTTCGGTTTCAACCCTTTTACCCTGTCGTAACTCAGTCGATTAAGGCAGTGTCTGGGATGCTCCCGGACGCAGGTTCGAATCCTCGTCACGGCCCTTCTGGATTTGCTACAAGGGAACATAGCGGGCTATGGAACTTAGCCTCAATATTGCTTTAGCCACAATAAGTTATAGCATTGATGGACTATAGTTACAGTGTTAACATATACGGTCACACAATGATTCAGGCACTGAAGCCCGTGTCCGTTGGCTAAGGAAAATGCTTTTTTTTTCGCGTGACAAAGGTATATAGTAGTCCAGTTACAGTACTGTAGTTAATGTTACATTAGTAGGTGGTTCAGAGTCTCGGCGGTACTTATAGCCAAGCCGAAGCCTAACAGTACTAACGTTTAGAAGTGTGCTGACTTTACTGGATGACTATTAGGTATGTAGCTCTAGGATAGTACGGTAGCATCATGATGCAATAGATACATGGAATTGCGGGTAGAAATTTAATTTTGGCGATATATATATATATATATATATATATATATATATATATATATATATATATATATATATATATATATATATATATATATATATATATATATATATATATATATATAAGGTATAATAGCCGCTCATCTACTATCACTAGTCTGTAGAACATCAGCCTCACCTTCTACTGGGCCGGCGTTCGATCCCTGATAGTCCTAGTGGTTGCACACTGGGCCATCGCTCATTCCTCGTATCCCAACGCCTTACCTTCTATGTGGTATACAGTCATGCTGGCTTAGCGTTTTCTCCTGATAATTACCTTGGTACACAGCTTGCCGTGTTTACAGATGGGACGAGGCGCACTTCGGCAAGATGGTGGGCTGGTACATCAACAGAACTTTCTTCATGGATGTCCACCCTCCAGGAGGCAAGGTATGTGTGTGTACACTTGGGGGTGGATGGGTGTGTTTACACTTGGGGGTGGACGGGTGTGTTTACACTTGGGGGTGGACGGGTGTGTACACTTGGGGTGGACGGTAGAGCGACGGTCTCGCTCTAGAGACCGTCTAGTGGTGGGAGTGTAAAGGTATGGCAATGTGCATCTGTATATTTAGAATGGTTGTGGGTTTGGGTGCACTTTTTAACGACAGTGTGTGTGTGTGTGTGTTTGTGTCCATGTATGTGAGATTCTCTACGCCCCTTTCTTTAGGGTTCAGAGTCCAAATGTACTCTTCGAGAAAGTGAACCCCCCTTTAGGGAAAATTCGCAACATCGAGGATTTCCTACCACCTTTCCTTTAAGTATGGCACTAATCATATAAGTGTAGCAAAGAATGTGACTTGAGATGACCGTCTGCCTGCAGCTGCTGCTGGCGCTCTTCGGGTACCTGGGCGGCTACAACGGCACGCACTCCTTCGCCAACCCCAACACGCCTTACGACGGCTACCACGGCATCATGCCTATGAGGGTGGTGAGTATCGTACTCCGGCCAGATTTACGAACCAGTTCCGCAAGTACTTACGAACGTGTACATCTTACCTTAATCTTTGACGGCTTTGGTTACATTTATTAAACAGTTTACAAGCATGAAAACTTTATTTCTGCTAGCTTCAAACAAAGCTTATGACACCTTTGGGTTTCAATACTTATTTCTCTCAAAGTCATTATGTGTAGCGAGTGAAGGTTAAGTTGGGCTCCTCTAAAATTCCCCAGGGGATGAGGTAGAAATAGGAGGATGGCTTTCACGCTCTCCTTTTCTTTAGACATACTTGTATGTGGCTCCTCACTTGTGTGGGGGGTAAGGGAGTCCAGTAATACTCTAATACTAGTGAAATAGGGGTCCACCAGTGGATACTAAAGGGATCAATATCAGGATAGCAATACCATTATACAGAGGCTTGGTGTTCCGATTTGAGATTAATTTTTTTCATTGCGTACATCCTAGCTGGAATTATTATTTTTTTTTCTCTCTCTCTCTCTCTCTCTCTCTCTCTCTCTCTCTCTCTCTCTCTCTCTCTCTCTCTCTCTCTCTCTCTCTCTCTCTCTCTCTCTCTCTCTCTCTCTCTCTCTCTCTCTCTCTCAACCAGACGGCTTCTTCAAGGGAAGCTGAGTAAAAACTATCTAGTTAGAATGATGGGTACAGTCATAGGGCCTATATAGCCTCTGGCAGAGTAGAGTTTTAAACGCAACTCGAAGTGGACGGTTGTGGCACGGGGCTGAGCGCTGTCTCCTGCTGATCTTCCAGGGGTGTGCGCTGCTCGGGGCGGGTATGGTGCCTCTGGGGTTCCACACGGTCTGGACGCTCACCAGGTCACTCCCAGCCTCCGCCTTCGCCGCCACCCTCATCACCTTCGGTACGTGACTCTTCGCCCAGCTGTCAACAATGATACATCAATGAGAAAATGGTGAAGTTGTTCGTTGGGATCGAGCTTTTATCCCTGAACTCCTGAGGCACACGCTAGCTCTTATAGTGACGTTACCTCATCATGGTCAAGTTGGTTGTGCGTGTGTCTCATGGGATGAGGGTTTGATCCCATTATAGGGTTTAAATATCTTGGTGTCCCAAATGGTCTGAATAAGTAGATAAGTTCTGAACGGATCAATAGAGGCGTTTTGATTCATAATGTTTTTAAGAGAGGAGAAAACTGTTTATTATTTTGGTAAATTAGGTTGTAATATACAAATAATTCTATGTCAATGGCTCAATGTGACCTTTGCTTGTTGTACTGCGTTAAACCAATGTTTTGGACAATTTCTTAAATTAAACGATGTGTGTTTGATCTCAAATTGTTTTGACATTAAAACGTATCAGTATTAGTGGTTATATTTAAGTTTTGAATTTTACGGTGTACTTATACATTTAAGTAATAACATGTTTGTGTTAACGTGGGCGTGGCGCCAGAGGTCGGGACCATCACACTGAGCAAGTTTATCCTGCTGGACCCTCCGCTGCTCTTCTTCATCCTGGCGTCCTTCCACGGCCTGTGTCTCATGCACAGCGTCGCCCGGAGGTGAGGCACGAGGTGGGGTGCTGGGGGTCGACAGTAAGATGGGGGACAAAAGGAATAGTGGGAAGGATTCGTGGTAATAAGTGATAAACTGATGAATTAGTGATGATGACTCAATGACTTTTTCGCTGAAAGATCGGTGAAGTAAGATGAGACAGAGAGAAGAACTGCTTGAACATACGGACAAGCAAAACAGCTTTGTAATATTATGTTAGTGAGGAGAGTAATAGGAAAACTGGCAGACTGGATCAAACATGATGATGTGACAGCCTACTACCCAGTCTCATCTGCTTCACATATGAGTCTCCACCACGGCCAGGATTCATCAGTCACTCACGAGTCCACTAACGAAACCTGTACATCTCTCCTCAGTCATGACGACTGAGTTTGCATTAATGAAACAGTTTGTGAACGCCAAAGAGATAGGAGGGTTGTCTATAACAAAAATAACCTTGGCTTGCAAAGTTCCGATGCTCACAAACTGTTTTAATAAAAAGACTAAGCCGTTGTGATTGAGGGTAGATGTACAGGTTTCGTAAATGTTCACTAAACTGATCGATGGATCATGGCCCCGAGAGAGGTATCCCCTTACTCACGGCCTCCTGCCCGCTTAGCAAATCAGCTTAATTTCATCTTAATTTTGCCCCGAGGGGCGAGTTTATTGGGCAGCGCTACTCATGCTGTGAGTGGCCACACCCCAATAGCAGCTTGTACAACACGCCCCAATAGGAAGAAAACCCGCTGGGTTGTTCATCCTGTCACTTGTACCCAGATCAGCCTAATGAGCAAGTTTCAGGATTACCGTGTACGTGGAGAAAATGGCGCAATAGGCTTCAAAGGCATTTTAGATTGTAATTGAGAAGGCGCTAACGGCTTTTATACTGTCCCGGGTATAGGTAATCCTCGTCAACACGACCCCAACGCTGATAGGTCGCTCAACGAGGCAACACGAAGACTCACAGGTTCGTATGTTGACAGGTCGTTCTCGAGAGAGTGGTGGGGCTGGAGCGCCTACACGGGCGCCATGCTGGGGTGCGCGGTGAGCGTGAAGTTTGTCGGCCTGTTTGTGGTAGCTGTGGTAGGCTGCTACATCCTCCACGACCTCTGGATCCACCTCGGCCACACTCATCAACCTCTTGTAAGATACACGTCCCTCCTCCTTATTCTCCTCCTCCTCCTCCTCTGTATTCTCCTATTCCTCCTCCTTCTCCTCTCCTTTTGTTTCTAATACGCTGTTTAATTACGTTGGATTTGTTTACGTTTGATGATATAAGAAAACTCTGCATTGATATAATTTACGCAGCAAGGATTGTCATGTTAATGAGTTGTATATAAGTACATTTAATGTTTTTTGCTTTGTATGTGTGTGTGTGTGTGTGTGTGTGTGTGTGTGTGTATACCAGTTACACTTCACACTGACTCATGCTTCATACTATCACTCATCACGCTCTCACTCGCTCTTCACACACACACACACACACACTTCACACTCTCACACTCACCCACTTATACACTCACACTCATTACACTAACACTCACTCTTCACACACTCATCACACTCTCACTCCTCGCACTTCTTTCTTACTTACCTTTCACACACACACTTTCACTCATGCCTCTGGCACTCCTCCCTGATGCCTCACCTGCCGGTGCCAGGTGGGTGTGGTGAAGCACTTGGCGGCTCGGGCACTGTGCCTCATCCTCCTGCCGGCCCTCATCTATGTCACGGTCTTCGCCATCCACGACCAGCTGCTCTACAGGGCGTGAGTATAGAGCCTCCTCCACTCTCTGCAAGCAGCTAGGCTAGGCAGGGCTGGGCTAGGCTAGGCTAGGCTAGGCTAGGCTAGGCTAGGCTAGGCTAGGCTAGGCAAGGCTGGGCAAGGCTGGGCTAGGCTAGGCTAGGCTAGGCTAGGGTAGGCTAGGCTCGGTAGTGGAGCAGATTACCTTGGCTTATCTGGCGGCGTATAAAACGCATTCGAAATACCGAATTGTTTATACAGGTTTACATATAAACCTGAATTGGGTTTATAGTGGATCAAAATATACCTCCTTATGTATTTAAGGAGGCAAATGCACTATAAATACATTATTATTTATAGTGTATTTGCAGATACACTATACTAGAGAACTTTATTCGTAACAATTAAAATTTAAATACATTACAGCCATAAATATTAGTTTTGTACATTTATAGTTGAGATAGTATACACAGATTTACAGTAAATTATTCATGTAAGAGAGTCATAATAATAACATAAAATTAAATATCAATAATTATCAGCTGTATACTCAAGAATTAGATTTAGATTTAAAAGTTACATTTATGAATGATTTTAAAATTATGACAATTCTGGCTGTGTGTGTGTGTGTGTGTGTGTGTATGTGTGTGTGTGTGTGTGTGTGTGTGTGTGTGTGTGTGTGTGTGTGTGTGTGTGTGTGTGTGTGTGTGTGTGTGTGTGTGTGCGTGTGTGTGTGTGTGTGTGGAAGTTGGCAGAACTGTGGTAGTCAAAAATCTCAGTAGTAGCAACAGGAGGAATAAATTTAAATTTGTTTATATTTAAAGGGAGTATAGCTGAAGCACGTCTGGGAGTATAACAGCATACCTGCAGCACCCTAGGGGAGTATACCTGGGGGCACTTTTGGGAGTATAATGGCATACCTGGAGTACATCTGGGCTTTTAATTAACAGTATATATGGAGTACGTCTGGGAATATACTTGGAGTACATTCAGGGACTATAAAAGTATTCCTGGAGCAGGTCAGGGAGTATAAAAGTATACCTGAAGCAGGTCAGGGAGTATGCCAGTATACCTGGGTGTCTTCCCCCCACAGGCAAGACGTGTTCGCGGCAGCCGAGGCCCACTTCAGTCCTGGCTTCCAGATGACCTTGCAAGACAATGCCCTTAACAACGTCTCCCAGCCTAGAGGTACTTGTCTCTCTCTCTGTCTCTCTCTGGCTCTCTCTCTCTGACTCTCTCTCTCTGACTCTCTCTCTCTGACTCTCTCTCTCTGACTCTCTCTCTCTCTCTCCCTCTCCCTCTCTCCCTCTCCCTCTCCCTCTCTCTCTCTCCTCTCTCTCTCTCTCTCTCCCTCTCTCTCTCTCTCTCTCTCTCTCTCTCTCTCTCTCTCTCTCTCTCTCTCTCTCTCTCTCTCTCTCTCTCGTTGGTATGAACCTATTGATTCCTTCGAGTGCTCTAAGGTCAGAGTTAAGAAAAGGAAACGAAGTGTAATGACCTGATTTGATGTTCATTTACCAATATGACCTAAGTTTACCTCTAGTCCGCCTGAGTTTACTGCTGATGATCAAAGTTTACTGCTGATGACCCCTAGTTTACCTGTGCTAGCCCAAGTTTACTTTTGATAACCAAACTTCATCCGTTAATATATCGTAGTTGTATTCTGCTGGATTCTTGTAGTTGTACTCACCTACAGCTGTACTTGCATGGGTTGAATTTCAGCTCTTGGTTCTCATATCTCGACCTTTCAGTGGACTGGTTCATAGGTTTCCCCAGTTCTTCGACCGGTGTTCTGTGCTTGCGAAGCTGTGTATGGGGTCTATGTTTCCACCGCTTCACTCACCTGTTTCAGTCTAACCTCAACCTAACTAACTATTCCCTAACTAATCTCAACGCTGAAAAAAAAACATTTACATTATTCCTATGGTTGTGCTACATAGCCTCCCTGGCTTGGTGTCTTCTGTGGATAGTTACTTAACTCACATTATTTCCGTGGCTCATTCTGGCTAATTTTCCCCCCCCCCCCTGTTTATTTGGTCATGCAGGAACGTGAGGTTTAGTTTCTTCTTTGGATGTGTCTTCATAACTCATACCTCTCGACTCTCGTACTAGTCTGGTGGCATATTTTTGGGGACTTTTTCAAACTTTGTTTGAATGGTTCAGCCCTTTTCCCTTATGCTTGCAGGTAAATGGATGAATCACTTTAAAAAATTATCATTGCTACCTCCAGTAGGTTTATCCTTCGTGTAGCTGTGCCTCTACAAGGTTCTATTATTTTCTCAGTATACCTTGCAATGATTAAGGTTGCCCCATGATTGAGAATCTATCACTTTCAACTGATGCAGACTTTTACATGAAGGCTTCATGGATGCTCTTGTTATCTTGCCCCTATTCCTGCCTGGGCATTCTGATATAGTGTAGCATGTTACCTATGACCGACTGTATTAGCTTTAATCCTCTTGATGTTATGATGCCTGTTATGTAGTCATTAAACCCTTCACAGCCTTACCGTCTCAAATCTCTAGTTTTCCGACTTAAGGAAACTCACCATTTTCTCTAATCTCACCTGGGATGACCCGACTTCACCTGGATTGACCTGACTTCAAATGGTTGACCCAACTCCATCTGTGATTACCTGACTTCACCTGTGTTGCCTTGACTTTGGCGGTGATGACCTAACCTGACCCGCGATTACCTAACGCGACCTGTGATGACCCCCAGATGTGGTGTACGGAAGTGTTGTGACCCTGCGGAACGACAACCTCGCCGGGGTGTACCTCCACAGCCACAACCTCACCTACCCGGGCGAGGTCCTCGGCCAGAGCCTTCAGCAGGTCACGGGTTTCAGGGCCAAGGACTTCAACAACCACTTGTGAGTCGATATGCCTCTGTTTAAGAGTGTGTGTGTGTGTGTGTGTGTGTTTACTAGTTGTGTTTTTGCGGGGGTTGAGCTTTGCTCTTTCGGCCCGCCTCTCAACTGTCAATCAACTGTTTACTAACTACTATTTTTTTTTTCCACACCACACACACACACCCCAGGAAGCAGCCCGTGACAGCTGACTAACTCCTAGGTACCTATTTACTGCTAGGTAACAGGGGCACTTAGGGTGAAAGAAACTTTGCCCATTTGTTTCTGCCTCGTGCGGGAATCGAACCCGCGCCACAGAATTACGAGTCCTGCGCGCTATCCACCAGGCTACGAGGCCCCTTAGGGCCTCGTAGCCTGGTGGATAGCGTGTGTGTGTGTGTGTGAATGAGTGAGTAACTAAGTAAGTAAGTAAGTAATTAAGTAAGTAATTGCCCCTAAGTGTAGTTACAGGATGAGAGCTACGCTCGTGGTGTCCCGTCTTCCCAGTACTCTTTGTCGTATAACACTTTGAAACTACTGTGTGTGTGTGTGTGTGTGTGTGTAAACCCAGCTGTGTATGGCAGTTTGCCTATGTACTCACGTAGATATTCTCAAATGTATTTGCAGGATCGAGCGTCTCTTCTTAGACCCAGGCTATCATTCACATTATAATTCAGTGCCATGGCTCTTTTCATTCGTGTGTAGCCGCATGTAACAGAATTAAGACATTGCTGGGTTTTATGCCTATGAATTTCTGTTTATAAATAGCCATGAACAGGTGATCTCTGAATACACTGTATGGCTTTTTCTTTTTTTTGTTTTGTTTCATATTTTGTTCGTATAATTCCATTCACATTCTTCAATATTATTCATTATTTCCACTAACACTGCTTGCGTGTCTCATTCATCACACGGATCTATTTTACTACTCATTCCCCAAAGATGGTTATCTTCCCCTCTTTTCTTCATTTCCCTCCTACCTTAGCTCACCCCGCCCTTATTTCCTCCCTGTCTTACACCCCTCACCCCGTCCTTTACGATTCTGTCTTACACCCCCCTCCCCCCGTCCTCTACTCCCCTTGCACCCCTGTCTTACATTCCTCACCCCCACCTTTTCTCCCCATGCACTCCCCTCACCTCACTTTTCCTTTCCCCACACAGCAAGATACTTTTCCCCGAGGACGACCCGGACCTGGGTGACGGGTTCTACAACGGGGAGCCGGAGACGCTGGTCCACGGGGACTGGGTGCGCCTCTACCACCTCTCCACCAACGCCGTTCTCTCCTGCAGCAAGAACAAGTCCTTCGTCACCAAGAAACACAAACTCGTCTACGCTAAGCCCTACGTATGTAGCGAGGGTGGCCGGCGCGCGCGCCCGCTGCCCCCTCCCACAATATTAGTACACACAGAAATCACAATAGCGTGATGTATCGAATGAACAAATCCACAAGGGCCGTGACGAGGATTCAAACCTGCGTCTGAGAGCATCCCAGACCTTAGAGGTACAATTAGTACCTCTTGGGGGGTTCCTCTTGTAGTTACGGTGGTGGCTGCGGGTGGTTGTAAATGTAGCAGAAGGTGGGAGTAGCTTTGACAGTTGTATATCTCTGGAAGAGGCTGTCACCTCTTGGCTCATTTCAAGGGAATGTTAATTAACTTTTTATTGGGAGGTCCTGGGGGCGCTTGTCGGGCTTTAGTTTGTTTAGTAACTTTTCTAGTAATTATTAGTTTGCGAGTCTCCGCCCTCTGAGAATTATTGCTGGTAAATGTTATCCTTTCAAAATTATCACTGTGGTTATTCTGCACGTAAATACATATTGAAAAATATATATAAAAGACTTAAGTATTAGAGAAATCTCATAATGGTAATAAGAGGAAATCCACTGCAGCCTCAAGTGATAGTTGTTAGGGATTTAGAGGTAAGTTAAGGGTGTACAAAGCAAAGTTAAGAGTGTACAGTGGCTGTACAACACAAAAAGAACAGAATGAAAGGATATTAGTCTTCATTTGGAGAGCTTTCAAGGTTTGATAAGAGTCATTAGTTCGTTCTATACTATAATACCGTTTAGTGTAGTGTCATTCATCATATGTGAGACGTATATATGTTCTCGGGGACTATGTCTACTCCCCGGCCCCTCTACTTCTACGACGCTGCCTCCCCCATCACCCGGTACTGCTCTAGGAGGCACCTCTCAATTAACTTCCTATCCTCATAACTGTACACTTATCAGGGTTAAACCTCAGTAACCATTTCTTAAAAGACTATCTCTGAAGCGTGTGCTTATGTATGTAAATTTGTTTGTATAATTTGTTTCTCTCGCTCACAGAACCTGACGGAGCCGGCCCAAGCAGCTTCGATAACTGAAGCGTTTAACCTGGATGAAAACGCCAATATCTCCAACGCTGCGGTAATGTATCCTGACACACCTGTGTTTGTGTTATCTCTTGCTGTTACTCACTTGATACACCTGTTGCTTACCCCGTGACACGTTCGCCATGCCGCTCTTACACTCGCCTTCACCAGCCTTGCTTTAGCGGTCGTCGGTGTTCCCAAAATTTGCGTCTAGCTTCCCTTAACCGACCTTCCTCGTCCTCCAGGTGACGCCCTGGCAGCTGTGGATGGTTCACATCGAAGGGGGTAAACCCGGCGACGCAGTTCGAACCCTGGACTCGCGGATCAGATTCATGTGTGTTGCCCCCAAGTGCGCTCTCACCTGGTCCAGAGCCGCGCTCCCTCTCCATTGGTGAGTACCCGTGGTAAAAGCGACGTAAATATAGCCCCCCATAATGTCGATTTTATTTTGCTTTTGTTTTTTATTGGTGAGTACCCGTGGTAAAAGCGACGTAAATATAGCCCCCATAATGTCGATTTTATTTTGTTTTTTGCATTGTTTACGTTTAGCTTGCGATTTGAGCTCGTACATTTCTAGTTAGGCAAAACAAAGGTTAGGCATTTGTTACTAAGGAGAACATAGAGAGAACAGGCTGCGTATACTGGCATGGGGGGTAGCCAAACAACTCCCCAGCCCGTTAATGAACAAATCCAGAAATCAGTCTAATGAACAAATGTCCCTAGTCCGTTCTTCAGACTCTGGTAACCTTTCTCTTAAACCTTTATTGTTGAAACACAGTGTCAGGTTCAGCTACTCTCTCTTATTCCCGGGGGGGGGGGGAGTCGTCCAGTTAAACCACCCAATCATCTTGTATACTAACTACCTAATTACCCCCTGTGTTTAATATTGCTACTGTTCCTTCAGCCGCTGCTACACTTACTAGGTAATTAGTCTGGAACTCTCGGGTAAGCAGCAAGATCACTTGTTTAATATAAAGTTACTATATATAGTAACGTTATCGACTTTGATTCAACGACGATAATAACCATAAAGTATATTTTTTACACTATGGACCATGAAACCCACATTTCATACTTCATAGGAGTCACTAGGATTTGAAATAGGAGCTGATTCTTCTTAGTGAGGGCCATGGGGGCGGAGGCGTCGAACCCCTAAACCACCCTTTTGATACTAGCTATACGATCACAAATCACCCTGTAAAGTTTAGTAATGCATCTGGCCCCCAGTCTCGAACAGACATTCCTGTAGATACTAGAAAGGGTTCCCGCCTGTTGTTGTTGTTATAGATTCAGCTACTCGAAACAAGTTCCAAGTAGCACGGGCTATGGTGAGCCCGTAGTGGGCTTACCTGGCACAGGCCCAGTGCCGTCGGGTTCCCGCTGGTGCCTATATATTATATATCATCATATAGGATGAGATGAGGTGTTACCAGATCGAGAAAACATCGTCAGTTTAGTTTACGACGCGCGACTATTTCTGAACTCTGTCAATCGTGACTGTTATTATTTGTCATATCTTCCTCAGGGGCGGAGGTCAAGCTGAGGTGACCTGCTCTCACAACCTCCAGGACCCCTTCACTGTCTGGATGGTGGAGCAGCACTTTAATCCCTATTGTGAGTACCCTATCCGGATTACAGCTTGCTTGGACTGGTCGGTAGAGTGACAACTATGATTCTTGACGGGTGTGCGCTCGATCCCAGATGGTCTAAGATGTGGCCTGGCAGCGTTTCTTCACTCTATCTTCATATGCCAGCTCCTTGTCCTCGTATCCTGTCCCAAGTGATGTCTAAATATCCCAGCTCCTTGTCCTCTTATCCTGTCCCAAGTGATATCTTCATATCCCAGCTACTTGTCCTCGTATCCTGTCCCAAGGGATGTTTTCATATCCCAGTTCCTTGTCCTCGTATCCTGTCCCAAGTGATGTCTTCATATCCCAGCTCCGTGTCCTCGTATCCTGTCCCAAGTGATGTCTTCATATCCCAGCTCCGTGTCCTCGTATCCTGTCCCAAGTGATGTTTTCATATCCCAGCTCCGTGTCCTCATATCCTGTCCCAAGTGATGTCTTCATATCCCAGCTCCGTGTCCTCGTATCCTGTCCCAAGTGATGTCTAAATATCCCAGCTCCTTGTCCTCTTATCCTGTCCCAAGTGATATCTTCATATCCCAGCTCCGTGTCCTCGTATCCTGTCTTAAGTGTTATATAGTATTATTGGCTTAGCCCTTTCTCCTCATAATTATCTTATCTTACTTCTCTCTTGCTGATGTAACGGCTCTAATGTGTGCTTCTTCTCGTTCTGTGTGTCCTGTTATTATTTATTTGTTCCTGTTTTTGCTAATTGATAATTTTAATGTATAATTATTGTTTCTAGTCATACCTGTTATTCCTTGTTTGCTTGTTTACCTGGCTTTGTTTCTTATATCTCTATATTTGTTTTCCAAGTTATGAAACTTCCAACAATTAGTACTCCAGCCCTACAGTAACTTGTCATAATAATGATGGCTAGTTTTGACAAGAGTAAATGATCATAAAACTGTACCGTAATCATTCTAAAGTTTGATAGTGCTGTATCATAGTCATAGAGCATTAGCATAATACACTTCCATAACCGAGCCTCCGCTGCTCTTGGTCTGCAGTACAGAACCACACATACAATCACCTGAGGAGCGGCTTCGTGTCCCGCCTGGTGGAGTCCCATAGAGTGATGGCGTGGGTCAACTCCAGGCTGAAGCCGGAGGGGGACCAGGTCTACACCTCACACAGGCCTTGGATGTGGCCCATCTGCTTCAAGGTAAGTCGTAGGGTTAGTATTACTAAAAGTTAAAAACAGATATGGGGCCCATATCTGTTTTAAGGTAAACCTGTGGCCCATTTGTTTTTAGGTAAACCTATGGCCCATTTGTTTTTAGGTAAACATGTGGTCCATGTGATTCAAAGGTATGATCCTTCTGGGATTGATTGCAGCCTAGCGTATTATGGCAAATGGAGGAGGGAGGGTTAATTCAAACTAAGCTGTGGAGTTAGTTTAGTTACAGCCCAACTTTTCTAGGTGAGGGCGGGTAGTTAAGAATGGTCTCTTAAGAGCGTGCAGACAATAACGTGTCACAGTAACGGGTGTGAAGATGTGATGACCAAATCACACACATCAGAAGATGAGTAGACGACGACATTTCGGTCCGTTGTGGACCGTTATCAAGTCGGGTCGTCGTTTCTTCGTTTTCTGATGTGTGGGTTTGGTCATAAATCTTTTTAAGACTATTTTCAGTGAATGTGCTTATTATGGCTCAAATGTGTGCCGGGAGCACACATATTTGTTTATATATGATCAATGAACAGTAGCTTGTAGGCGATGAGTCACAATAACGTGGCTGAAGTATGTTGACCAGACCACATACACTAGAAGGTGAAGGGGAAACACAATTGACTTGAGAATGGTTCAGGACGGACCGAAACGTCGTCGCCGTCCCTTCACCTTCTAGTGTGTGGTCAAGTCAACAGAAGCTTACATTATAACATTTCATTTACTTGGATCATCGGAAATTCAAACTGGTCTCAAGATACAAGACCGTTTGGCCTATACATCCAAGGCTGTTACAGATATCGTGTTTTGAGGCCTAAGTTGAAATCTCGGATATTATGCAATATTTTGGAATAACAATTTGTCAATGGGATATTTCATGTTGTATTCATTATTAGCTATGGAATCTCTAGGTTTCTACGACCTGTTGATGCGTGGGGTGGAGTGGGAGGGTGAGAATATGTCCCCGTGCGGGCAATAACAGTCTGGCAATTCCACAGTCACAGGTATGGTTCGACGTGAACTTCCGGATCGTCTTACTGGGCAACCCGGTCATCTTCTGGATCAACTTGGTCTTCCTGGTGGCGGCGCCGCTCCTGCTCCTCTACCACCACTACCAGCACAAGCGCGGGCTCCTCGATCCCCCTCAACTAGCAGGTATAAGGGGTTCAACCCCCCTCCCCTTTCTCCCCCTTCTCTCCCCTTTCCCCTAGCTCCCCCCTCATCCTCCCCTCCCCCCTTTCCCCTTCTCTCCCCTTTCCCCTAGGCCCCCTCATCCTCCCCCGAAACTCCCACATGTGTAATCTCCCTAAATTAAAATGTAATCATATTACCAAGGTACAGAACGTGGGGGATTGGAATTACTTGAGGATAAGTTATATTTTAATTTCGTTATTCCTCTTTCACCATTCTCCACCGTCCCACACTATATCAGCCATCATACACGATGACCATCACACACACTATCCCCCCCACCATCCCCCTCTATCCCCTCCCACTATACCACACTATTCATGACCATCCCCGTGTCTGTCTACCTTCCCCCAGCGAGGAAGGAGAGGCTGGTGTTTGCGATCAAGTGGCTGCTGCTGGCCTACCTGCTTCACTACGTGCCCTTCTACACTATGGACCGCATTCTCTACTACCACCACTACTTCCCGGCCCTCCAGTTCTCCTCCATGCTCACAGGTACTCGTGGGAGAGGGGCGGGGGGGATTCTTTGGTGCTCACAGGTGCTCATGGGGGGATTCTTTGGTGCTCACAGGTGCTCATGGGGGGATTCTTTGGTGCTCACAGGTGCTCATGGGGGGATTCTTTGGTGCTCATGGGGGGATTCTTTGCTCACAGGTGCTCATGGGGGATTCTTTGGTGCTCACAGGTGCTCATGGGGGATTCTTGGTGCTCACAGGTGCTCATGGGGGGATTCTTTGGTGCTCACAGGTGCTCATGGGGGATTCTTTGGTGCTCACAGGTGCTCATGGGGGGATTCTTTGGTGCTCACAGGTGCTCATGGGGGGATTCTTTGGTGCTCACAGGTGCTCATGGGGGGATTCTTTGGTGCTCACAGGTGCTCATGGGGGGGATTCTTTGGTGCTCACAGGTGCTCATGGGGGGATTCTTTGGTGCTCATGGGGGGATTCTTTGGTGCTCACAGGTGCTCATGGGGGATTCTTTGGTGCTCACAGGTGCTCATGGGGGGATTCTTTGGTGCTCATGGGGGGATTCTTTGGTGCTCACAGGTGCTCATGGGGGGATTCTTTGGTGCTCACAGGTACTCATGGGGGGGATTCTTTGGTGCTCACAGGTGCTCATGGGGGGATTCCTTCGTGCTCATAGGTACTCAGGGGGATTCTTTCGTACTCACGAGGGCTTCTCTTGTGCTCACGGGGCTTTAAGAGAAGTCTATAATATCCAGATTCATTGAGGATTATATAGTTTTTATGTTCGAGGGTGCTCAGATGGTTCACGAGTCATTAAAATGAGTTGCCCCCAACTCATAAAATGTTCTTAGTTGGCAACATTATATGCGCAGTGAGGCCATATCGCTTGTATTTATTAAGCTGTGATTAGTTGGCATTTCACACACACAGCACCGCTCCTGTGCCAGGTAAGTCCACTACGGGCTCACCATAGCCCGTGCTACTTGGAACTTGTTCCGAGTAGCTGAATCTATAAGAACAGTTGGCATTTACTAATTACCTCGTGTGTGTGTCGTGGTGGTCAGCTGTGGTGTTCGGGTACTGGCTGGACTCCCTCGACTCCTGGCTCTTCCCCGCCAGGGCCAGCCTCGCCTTCCACTGGGCCTCCGCCGTCTTCTTCGCTATCCTCGCCTACAGGTGAGTCTTATCAACCTATATACAGGTGAGGGTTCGATCCCATTCTATAACCCCCACCCCATCCAATGGTTTCTCGTAGATTCATGGCGGTTGAATTGTGTTCTACCTATTGATGTGTTTGTAAGGGTTAAACTTTGGCTCCTGCGTCCCGGGTATCTATAGTTATTGCTAGGTGAACATAGGCATCAGGTGAAAGAAAACGTGCCTAATCCATTTTGTCTCGTCCGCGCTGGAACCTGAATTCCTATAAAATATGTATTTTTACTTGTTATATGAAGGAGGTGCGTCTAGATGAAGCGAGCCAGGGGCCAGATTCACGAAGCAGTTACGCAAGTACTTACGAACGTGTACATCTTTCCTCAATCTTTGACGGCTTTGGTTACATTTATTAAACAGTTTACAAGCATGAAAACTTGCCAATCAACTGTTGTTATTGTTATAAACATCCTCCTGGTGCTTCGGAGCTCATTAACCTGTTTAATAATTGTAAACAAAGCCGCCAAAGTTCGAGAAAAGATGGACAGGTTCGTAAGTGCTTGCGTAACTGCTTCGTGAATCTGGGCCCAGGTTCTATTTCCAACGAAGCGTCAGTATTCCGGCGTTTTTAATGGCCATAATTCACTGCTCAATTTTTACGCTAAGGTTTGACTGGATAAAAACTGTGGTGCGATCAGCAAGAGGAGAGGTTAATTATACCTTAATAACAAGCTCCACCGTTCCTCTTGTAATATTTCTCACTCCAATTTCCTAGTTGTTTGGGGTTTATGGCTTCAAAGTGAGACCGTCGCTCTACCGTCCAGTCCATCCATTTCGGCTGGACGGTAGAGCGACGGTCTCACTTCATGCAGATCGGCGTTCAATCCCCGACCGTCCAAGTGGTTGGGGCACCATTCCTTTCCCTCCCTGCCCCATCCCAAATCCTTATCCTGACCCCCTTCCCAGTGCCATATAGTCCTAATGGCTTGGCGCTTCTGATAATTCCTTTCCTTTCCGGCAGCTCTAGTTGTTGGGCCGCCCAGTAGCCTGTTACACACAGAGATCACACTAACGTGATGCATCAAATGAACAAATCCACAAGGGCCGTGACGAGGATTCGAACCTGCGTCCGGTGAGCATCCCAGACACTGTCTTAATCGACTGAGATACGACAGGGTTCGAATTGGTTCGAGGATTCGAACCTGCGTCCGGGAGCATCCCAGACACTGCCTTAATCGACTGAGCTACGACAGGGTTCGAATTGGTTCGAGGATTCGAACCTGCGTCCGGGAGCATCCCAGACACTGCCTTAATCGACGGAGCTACGACAAGGTTCGAATCCTCGTCACGGCCCTTGTGGATTTGTTCAGTAGCCTGTTATTATAGCGCTGTGTTGTGCATTAGGCAGTCATCTGTGACCCTTAGTCCAGGCCTATTATGAGCTATTGTGTGTATATACACCTGTGTGTGCACGTCTTTGTTGGACGGTCATCTTACGCCGTTAATTCTTCCCACAGCTTCCACCTGTTCTGTTATGTTGGCTATGGCCACCCCACCGTCAGCGGCTTCAACCCTGATAACTCTACTTTCAAGGACATCCGCTTCTTCGACGAGTGGGAGATCTAAGGAGTGCCTGAGGTATCGGCCAGACACCCCCACTTGTGCTCACCTGCAACCATTTACGATGGTATTGACAAGCGAGGCAGGGGAGAGGCAGGAGGCAGTGTGGACAAGCGAGGCATTGACCAACAGAAAGAGCTCTACTCACAGGAGGCCCAAGACGCTTCTCGCAGTAGTGACAATACAACATTAAACTCACCTTTGAAGACTGTTTCGACACCCTATTGGTATAGTTGTGTTGACCAGACCACACACTAGAAAGTGAAAGGATGACGACGTTTCGGTCCGTCCTGGACCATTCTCAAGTCGATTGTCGACTTGAGAATGGTCCAGGACGGACCGAAACGACGTCATCCCTTTACCTTCTAGAGTGTGGTCTGGTCAAGTTTCCGTCAGCCCGTCCTCATAAACAAAGGCCAAAGTCCATTCCATCCACCCGCCAAACCCCCTGTTTATGAATGAAAAACGATTTACACAGGACTCACAACTGCTGACGTTCGAACACTTTCTGAACAAGTGCTTCGCTGACGACTTTTGTTCGAACCACAGCGCTGTAAATGCTTCACCCACGTACAACAAATACAAATAATCGCCAACACAACCTAAACACTAAACCTAACCTAATTTAAAACTAATTAAAACAATTCTAATGTACAATAATGTTAATTATATTTAAGAAAATAATGATTTTTAAATACACAGTTCGTTAACATTTGGGAATGCGTCTTTGGAGTCGGTCGAAACCACCTGAGAATGCAATGGAATTTTAACATTGTGCGAGAAAAATATGATATGTTTTCATGCATCAATTTTTATCTGATGAAATAAAAACAACATTTGAAAGGTGGCAATTTCTTCTGTATATGTGTTTTACAATGTAAATCAAAATGTTGAATTGTTCCATACATGTACAAAACAGATTACTGAAGTGAATACCAATTCAGTAAGAAACTAATGCTATGATTTTTATAAATAAATAATATATTTTAGTCATTAGTAAGAAACAAGAAAGATGATGTACTTGTGTGTGTAAAGTAGACCCCTATGTAAATCTACGGTATATAAATAGTTCTCGGACCTATATACTGTACAACCTTTGTGAAAGATAAATAATACTTGTATACTGTAGCTTCACATCCATATTTATAATAAATTACTGCTTAGCTAAATGAATTGTGGGGTTCAGTCCCTGAGCCCATTATGTGCCTCTGTAACCCTTTCCACTACTGCCCACAAGATGGGTATAGGGTGCATAATAAATGAACTAAACTAAACTTTCCATCACCAAGAAACACCTTCATTTTGGATCCGTGAAAGAATTTGTAAATTTCCCAGGAATTGTTGACGTGAAGGCGGCCACGAGGAGAACAGGAAGCTGACAGGATTCAGTTAGCACTTACGAAATCTATACATCTTTCCTCAGTCATGACGGCAAAGTTTGCTTTTATTTAAAGAATTATAAGCTTCGAGGTTATCTATAGCAAGAATATATTTGGGTCGAGAAAGACCTCGCAACGTTTCGAAGCTCTCAAACTGTTTAATAAATACTGACTAAGCCGCCACGACCAAGGAAAGATAAAGAGGTTCCGTAGGTGAATGCCTGGAGGATTAGTCAAAGCTCAAAATATAAATGGAAAAAGAAGCTGGTGGGTTGAGAAATGTTCCCCTCATTATTCATGAGGATTTTTTTTTTAATTGCCATTTAAAATATACATTGAAAACTACAGTACATCTATGTTTTTGGTTTTCCAGAATTATTATATTTTTTCTTATATATTGTATAGAATGACTTATGGAAGAAGCACTTATTTGCATATTGAGGCTGCCCAAATTTTATTAAAAAAACATTTTAAATCAATAAGATACAATAATATGACTCTCACAACGTGGATAATCAAATTGACTTCACTTGGGTCATTGGAGAGTTGAACTCTGGTGAGGTTAGTGACGCAACAGGACGGGCAGCCTAAAAAAAAAAATGGGACTTGTGTCACAACCTGCTCTCGCACAAGTCATATAGAGTTATTGCTTGTCACTATTTGGCTGATTAATAAGTACATGATATACCTCGTCAACAAAGGCCAAATGCTCGTTAATCTAGCCGCTTAACCTGCTTGTGAATGAAAACGATTTACATGACAACCGATGACGTTCGAACATTTCGCGAACAATGTTTCGCATACGACCTGTTCGAACCTCAACGCAATAAATGTTTCACTCACGTACTTCAAACAAATATCCGCGAACAGATTCTAAAAACCTAACCTCACCTACGCCTAACTGTACCTAGAACTTTATATATAATATTGTATAAAATGTATTTTTAATACACTACGTTAAAATTGATGAATGTCTTGGGGGGGGGGGACGGCTGCAGCTTTAACGAGCCTGTCCTCAGGTTGTTTGAGGTCCGAGTTCGAATCTCCAGTGACCCAAATGAAAGTAGCTCGTCCTCATGAACAAAGTCCATTCTATGCACCCGCCAAACTTCCTGGTTATAAATGAAAAACGGTTGACAAGACTCACAACTGATGACGTTCGAACACTTCTCGAACAAGTGCTACTTCGTTGATGACTTTGTTCGAACCACAACGCTGTAAATGCTTCACCCACGTACTACAAATACAAATAATCGTCAACAGAACCTAAACACCTAACCTAACCAATGTCTAAATTTTAGCAGTATGCTAATATATAACAATTAATTTATATTTAGAAAATTCCTATTTAGCATGTTAAAATTGATGAATGCGTCTTTGGGGTCGACCGCTGGATGTAATGGACTTAGTCTGAAGACGAATTGAATAAAATATAAGATTTGCTATATACGAAAACGATGAAGCCTGAAGCATTAGGATTTATATAATCAAAACCATTGTATTTAAACAATAAAAAATATAACAAAAAATCAGTATCTGATTGTTATTTACCAGAAACAAACTATAAGTTTTATTTAACCCCTGGGTCGATGATTACAATACCATTTGCATTTTATGTAATTGGAAAGGAGTATGTGTAAAGACGGTGTAATCATTCTTGATTTACTGTATAAATATATTCTCCCTAATTTAATCCAAAACAAGACCAGTAAACTGTTGGTCAGTTTAAAGCTGCTAATGACTGAAGGAAATTAATTATCAAGCCATAAAGAGGAGTTAGAAAGAGAGAAAAGATGAAGGAAATTAAGCAATTTAAAGTTATAGGTAGGGTCCCTTATGATCACTAACAGATGTAAACACTATTCCGTCGCATTGCTGTGTATAAGCTCTTTTTAAGTTAGGCATGAAACAGGCCTCAGAAAGCAATTCCTTGGTTAACTGCCTCACTCCAGCGACAGATATTAGTACAGGCGAAACCCACATCAGCATAATTTTGGAAAAATGCCACTAGTAACATAAGATACAGATGTCAGTTGAGATCTTGTTATACACAGCAACAAGAGACGCGAAGCAATCGTCCATGCCCGAAACGCTATGCATACTAGTGGCTTTAGGTATTGTATGTACTTTCTCTATCTTTAAATCCAACATTATGTATGTAACTCGATGTATATACCTTTACCTGATTAAAAAATCTAAATCTAAATTAAGTCTCCTATGAAGAAGGCCCCTAGTTAACATGGCCAGCAGTGGTCAGCATGGCTCTGGCTACCGTCTGCGCCGCCAGAGGGAGAAGCAGCAGCAACAGGACGCCCGTCGTCGGCCTGGTGGCCATGTTGCAGAGGTCGTAGTCGCAGACGCACATTTCCCTGGTGTAGGTTCCCATCCTCTGCTTCCAACACCCGGAGGTCTTGACTATTGGGGTGTCTGCGTTAGTGTTGTCGGCCACCGTCCCACAGAAGAGTGAGTAGTTCACCATCCGATCTGTGGTGGTAGAGAGTTAGTAGTTGACCACTTAACGTGTATAACAGAAGGAAGGACATTGTGTTCACCAAGGAGGACAAACTTACGCATCTGAAACCATAATGGTTTAATTCGTGGGGGGAAGAGACACTTACCGTTGATATCGAACCAGCTGTACTTGATGCAGTTGGAGCCCTTGGTAGAACACTTGAAGACGGGACAAGTTGTGTTCCGGCAGTGGGACTCTAAGGCAGAGATGTCGGGCGGGCTCTCAAACGGAGCTGTGGGGAGAGACGTGGTGCTTGGTTAACATCTCACCGATGTAGCGTCCATTCACGCTAATTTAACCTCCACGCACTAACGTGGCGCATATAGTTAACATGCCTTCGTGAAATTAGCATGTATTTATTTTAAATAAATCTGAGATGTAATCATGCACATTAAATTTAACATTGACAAGTTAAATTTATACTAACATACACGCGTAAAATTCAGATAAACACACATGAGCCACAATAAGTTAACATACAGCAGTAAGGTTAACGTATCATTCCATCCGTAAGTGCAAGTAACTATAGATACTATGGCTGATATCTAATAGTTACTTGCAAAACACTAACTATTGCGGAACTAGTGTAGAGACCAGGCGATAGACTTACTAGTGTAGAGACCAGGCGATAGACTTACTAGTGTAGAGACCAGGCGATAGACTTACTAGTGTAGAGACCAGGCGATAGACTTACTAGTGTAGAGACCAGGCGATAGACTTACTAGTGTAGAGACCAGGCGATAGACTTACTAAGAGACCAGGCTATAGAATTACTAGTGACCAGGGGGATAGACTAGGCTATAGACTTACTGGTGTAGACCAGAGGATAGACACAAGGGATGGGGTTGTCATTCATGTCATTTATCTTATCCTCGCAGTCAATGGTCTCATTCACGCCTGGCCAGGTGAAGTTGTAGCACTGGCGCCGATCTGTCAGGGAGGTAAACTGTTTACATTTGACGTGGAGGTTAGTTGCTTACATGTAACGTGAAGGTAAAACTGTTTACATATCAGGTGGAGGTTGGCGGTTTATATATATATATATATATATATATATATATATATATATATATATATATATATATATATATATATATATATATATATATATATATATGTCGTACCTAGTAGCCAGAACTCACTTTTCAGCCTATTATTCAAGGCCCGATTTGCCTAATAAGCCAAGTTTTCCTGAATTAATATATTTACTATAATTTTCTTCTTATGAAATGATAAAGCAACCCTTTTCTCTATGTATGAGGTCAATTTTTTTTTATTGGAGTTAAAATTAACGTAGATATATGACCGAACCAAACCATGCCTACCTAACCTAACCTAACCTATATTTATAGGTAAGGTTAGGTTAGGTAGCCAAAAAAAGCTAGGTTAGGTTAGGTTAGGTAGGTTAGGTAGACGAAAAAACATTAATTCATGAAAACTTGGCTTATTAGGCAAATCGGGCCTTGAATAGTAGGCTGAAAAGTGCGTTCTGGCTATTAGGTACGACATATATATATATATATATATATATATATATGTCGTACCTAATAGCCAGAACGCACTTCTCAGCCTACTATTCAAGGCCCGATTTGCCTAATAAGCCAAGTTTTCATGAATTAATGTTTTTTCGTCTACCTAACCTACCTAACCTAACCTAACCTAGCTTTTTTTGGCTACCTAACCTAACCTTACCTATAAATATAGGTTAGGTTAGGTTAGGTAGGGTTGGTTAGGTTCGGTCATATATCTACGTTAATTTTAACTCCAATAAAAAAAATTGACCTCATACATAGAGAAAAGGGTTGCTTTATCATTTCATAAGAAAAAAAATTATAGTAAATATATTAATTCAGGAAAACTTGGCTTATTAGGCAAATCGGGCCTTGAATAGTAGGCTGAGAAGTGAGTTCTGGCTACTAGGTACGACATATATATATATATATATATATATATATATATATATATGTCGTACCTAGTAGCCAGAACGCACTTCTCAGCCTACTATGCAAGGCCCGATTTGCCTAATAGGCCAAGTTTTCATGAATTAATGATTTTTCGACTACCTAACCTACCTAACCTAACCTAACTTTTTCGGCTACCTAACCTAACCTAACCTATAAAGATAGGTTAGGTTAGGTTAGGTAGGGTTGGTTAGGTTCGGTTCATATATCTACGTTAATTTTAACTCCAATAAAAAAAAAATTGACCACCCACATAATGAAACGGGTAGCTTTATCATTTCATAAGAAAAAAAATTAGAGAAAATATATTAATTCAGGAAAACTTGGCTTATTAGGCAAATCAGGCCTTGCATAGTAGGCCGAGAAGTGCGTTCTGGCTACTAGGTACGACATATATATATATATATATATATATATATATATATATATATATATATATATATATATATATATATATTTGATTTGCAATAGATAAGTTGCTCTTGATTGCTCATTCGTGTATTCAGATACATATTCCTGCTCTCATCGCACGTATTCATGGTATACATGTGTATGTATAAACAAATGTGTGTATACATGGGGGTTATGTAATGCTCTGGTTTATTCCTAATTGGTAATTCCTAATATTTATTTGTTTGTCCTATCCTCAGCCGACATTTGTTGTTGTTGTTGTTCAAGGCCTCGGTCAGTATTGCATTCCAGCTGATCTGGTTACGTGACGTCATCAGTGAGTGCGGCTGTGATTGGTGGGGTTATGTGACGTCATCAGTGAGTGCGGCTCTGATTCGTGGGTTACGTGACGTCATCACTGAGCGTTGAGCTGATTAGTCGGTTTTGTGACGTCATCACTGAGCGTTGAGCTGATTACTCGGTTTTGTGACGTCATGACGGAGCTGGGCTCTGATTGTTCAGTTCCCAAGTGATAACATAAATATACTGTGTTGACATGCATTTTTTTTAAGTAATGCCTTCAATGTAGTTGCATTTTGCTGTGTGACGTCATACACTTGTAAGATATAGTGTTGTGTATGGTTATATACATGAGTGTATGCTTGCTTCATTATTGGATATGAATTAAATTTCTGCACTGATTTGTTGATATCGTGTGTCCCTGCATTCTGCATGACTGTATCATTTGATAATTGTATTCCTTTATTGTTTTATTTGGAGCAATCCCAGCACTTCTCACGGGGCTGTCCCACCATGTCAATACTCTCTTCAGGAACGAAGAACCAAAGCCCATGTGTAAACTAATAAGGCTCTCTCTCTCTCTCTCTCTCTCTCTCTCTCTCTCTCTCTCTCTCTCTCTCTCTCTCTCTCTCTCTCTCTCTCTCTCTATCTCTCTATCTCTCTCTCTGTCTCTCTCTCTCTGTCTCTCTCTCTCTGTCTCTCTCTCTCTGTCTCTCTCTCTCTCTCTCTCTGTCTCTATCTCTCTCTCTCTCTCTCTCTCTCTCTCTCTCTCTCTCTCTCTCTCTCTCTCTCTCTCTCTCTCTCTCTCTCTCTCTCTCTCTCTCTCTCTCTCTCTCTCTCTCTCTCTCTCTCTCTCTCTCTGTCTCTCTCTCTCTCTCTCTCTCTCTCTCTCTCTCTCTCTCTCTCTCTCTCTCTCTCTCTCTCTCTCTCTCTCTCTCTCTCTCTCTCTCTCTCTCTCTCTCTGTCTCTCTCTCTCTCTCTCTCTCTCTCTCTCTCTCTCTCTCTCTCTCTCTCTCTCTGTCTCTCTCTCTCTCTCTCTCTCTCTCTCTCTCTCTCTCTCTCTCTCTCTCTCTCTCTCTCTCTCTCTCTCTCTCTCTCTCTCTCTCTCTCTCTCTCTCTCTCTCTCTCTCTCTCTCTCTCTCTCTCTCTCTCTCTCTCTCTCTCTCTCTCTCTCTCTCTCTCTCTCTCTCTCTCTCTCTCTCTCTCTCTCTCTCTCTCTCTCTCTCTCTCTCTCTCTCTCTCTCTCTCTGTCTCTCTCTCTCTCTCTCTCTCTCTCTCTCTCTCTCTCTCTCTCTCTCTCTCTCTCTCTCTCTCTCTCTCTCTCTCTCTCTCTCTCTCTCTCTCTCTCTCTCTCTCTCTCTCTCTCTCTCTCTCTCTCTCTCTCTCTCTCTCTCTCTCTCTCTCTCTCTCTCTCTCTCTCTCTCTCTCTCTCTCTCTCTCTCTCTCTCTCTCTCTCTCTCTCTCTCTCTCTCTCTCTCTCTCTCTCTCTCTCTCTCTCTCTCTCTCTCTCTGTCTCTCTCTCGTCTCTCTCTCTCTCTCTCTCTCTCTCTCTCTCTCTCTCTCTCTCTCTCTCTCTCTCTCTCTCTCTCTCTCTCTCTCTCTCTCTCTCTCTCTCTCTCTCTTCTCTCTCTCTCTGTCTCTCTCTGTCTCTCTCTCTCTCTCTCTCTCTCTCTCTCTCTCTCTCTCTCTCTCTCTCTCTCTCTCTCTCTCTCTCTCTCTCTCTCTCTCTCTCTCTCTCTCTCTCCCCCCTCCCTCCCTCCCCTACCTCCCCTACTAGTTCATGTTTCCATATCATACTTCTGCCCTTTACCAAATATTCCCTGTTTATAAATGAAAACCACTTTGCACCAACCCTCCCTTCACCCCATGCTCGTCCAAGCTGCCCCCCGCCCCAAACGAGCACTCATCAGTTTGAACGCACGAGAACTCGAGCTGAGAAGTATGAGGAAAGACAAGGAATTAAACCTCATGTCTCTGAATGACACGAGATTTAAGGGAGACATGATAACAATATTAAATTTTCAGAGGGAATTGATAGGGCAGGTAAATATAGATTTTTTGGGGAATAGGTGGTACATGAACATGAGGTTGGAAACCTAATGAGCCAGAGACATTTGAAATATGTTTATTTGTGGATATTGGGTGCAAGAGGGTCTGTCCCCCCTCTGGAAAATCATTTACATAGATCAGGGATAAGATGGGAGCTAGTACAAAACCCCTTTGGGTACCATTCCGTCACTCTAAAGTCACATCTCCTGTGCCAGGCAAGTACGCCGGGCTCACCATAGCCCGTGCTGCTTGGAGCTTTTTGTTCAGAGTAGCTGCTGAATCTAAACACAACAACAACAAACTCTGAAAGTCTTTCCCTCTCTGTTTTCTGTTGCTTAGGTACTCCCTTGTCCGCCAAGACGCTCTCTATGTTACTCTTGCCTGGTTCCTCCTTTGTGTAAACTGGAGTCGTGTAGATACTGATGAAGGCACTGTGACAAATAAGCAATGTTACAGTCTGCCAACCCGGCCAACATGGCGGGAGGCTGACGCTGGGTTGTTTCAAGCGAAGGTTTGACACGTGTATGAAGAAGTTTGGCTGGATGTAAATAGGGGGCTACCTCGGGGAGGACAATAGACCTTCTGCAATTATCTTTTTCCTTTTAATTTTCATGTTTTTGTGTGTGTTATCTCTATCAGGTACTATAGTGATTTATAGGTACCTACTCTCCTGTATTTCCTGCCTACCCTTTTGTTCATCCTCATTCCCATCCTTTTGTTCCTGCCCATCCTCCACCCTGCCCCTGCCATCTAGCCCTCCACCCTGCCCGCCCTCCATCTGCCCACCATCCCTCCACCCCTGGCTCGCCGCTCCACCCCTGCCCCACCTACCATCCGGCATAAAAACCAATCCTTAAGCTATATAATCGACACCTAATCCACTGACGTCATCGCGTGTAATGAGTTTATCAGCCAGCGTTATCTGGGGTGGCCTCAGACCTCACAGCTGTCAGGGAGGGTTATCGTTGGTGTTACAAAAGTGGTAGAATGGTCGTCTGCACTGAAGAGGAGTATCTGTGCTGGCGCCAATCACAGAGGCATGTTATGATGAATAATATGCCGTATTATCATAATGTTCTGTGGTATACTTAGTATAATTTTAGACAGTTTCGAACCTACAAGGTTCGTTCTCAAGTGGGGAATGACGAGACATTAAGGAACATCTCATTTACAACAAAATATCACGTGAGAATGAACCTTGTAGGTTCGAAATGTGTAAATTTTAATAAGTATAATACATTACAGTTCATTTTTGTTGTTTTAGTAAACCTTGACTAAATATGACATTTGGAGAAATCTTCCAATTAAACAGCACATCTCCTGTGCCAGGTAAGTCCACTTCGGGCTCACCATAGCCCGTGCTACTTGTAACTTTTTGTTTCGAGTAGCTTAGTCTAAAATAATAACATCCTTAAACAAAGACGCAACAGCACTTGTTAGATGGACAAAGCCTTAAACAAGAAAATAATCAACACGGAATATGCAGTCATATTCAATGAAACATGTCTACATGAAAACCTGCTGCAAATATACACCAATATGTACACATTTATATTTATATATAATATTATATAATTGTATACGTCTTATTCCGCTCCAGTTCCATTTTCTGTTGTGTAGACATCCGCTCTCTTCCCTCCTCCTCCTCCTCTCTCTTTTATCACCCTTTTCTGCCCTTCTCTTGTTCTTAAGGCTGCTTCCTCGTCTTGTCTTCCACTCAGTGTTATGTTATCCCTGATGAAGGGTGAAAACCCGAAAGCATGCCAAGATGAAAAATAATTTCCATTCGTTGTAGTTTAATTTGTAATATTTTTTTGAGATCGTTGTTATGATCACTTGTGTTCGTATGTAGTGTTGAGGTTCGCGCATCAAGGCCATTGTAATGCATATGCAAAACTCTGGACACATTGTACACACAGTATCGTCCTGTGCCTCACTAGGACACATCCTGGTTATTGTAGCCCCCAGACTGTCCAGGGACATTCTAGGACACCAAGGTCGTCTCAGGGCACTCCCAGGCTGTCCTCTACCTCGCTGTAGCACACATCGGTAGTCTTACGACCATCTAGTGAAAACATATACGAGCTATCTTGAGATAAACTTCAACCCTGATGGACCGTATCTAGGCCATGTTGATCACACCACACTCGGGCCATCGTGGCCACACCAATACATACCTCCAATGGCCTGGGCCAGAGGGCACACCCCAAGCACCAGGTAAAGCGCTCCAACGACGAAGACGATGCACCCTGGCCATCGCAGATCCATGGCGAGTACCGCCTTCTACACTGGTTCTTTGATCTCGCCTTTTGCCCCTCGATCTCGCTCCTCGACTTCGCTCTTCGACTTCGCTCCTCGATATAATTCCCGAGAGGTGGCTGGCTTCGCGTATCGGGCCTCCGTCCCTGCCTCGGACTCTAAAAGCTCGCGGAACGGAAGATGGGGTACAGTGTCCTTCCTTTTTTCGTTCACCTGTGAACCAAAGTCAGTCTGAAGCGACACTGAGACCAGCGACTCGCTGCAGGATTGTATCGATAAGATATGAGATAGCAAGGAAGCCAATTTTTTCCCGTTATCTACGATAACATTTGGTTATCACACTCCTCGTGTGTCATTGGTTGCTGATTTAGTTTCATTATTATTTGTAATAACAGACTCGGAAAAAGAGACGGCAAACATGGTAAAAAAAAACAGAAATCTGTCTGTCTGTGTCTGCTCTCTCTCTCTCTCTCTCTCTCTCTCTCTCTCTCTCTCTCTCTCTCTCTCTCTCTCTCTCTCTCTCTCTCTCTCTCTCTCTCTCTCTCTCTCTCTCTCTTTCTCTCTCTCTCTCTCTCTCTCTCTCTCTCTCTCTCTCTCTCTCTCTCTCTCTCTCTCTCTCTCTCTCTCTCTCTCTCCTCCTCCCCTCTGGTTCACACTGGTACCAGCTAAACATATAAGCAGATGAGAAAACACATTAGGTCATACTGAAAATCCATCATGGGAAATTTATCAATAGAAGAAACATTGAGAATAGTTTGCCGCACAAGCGACCAAGTTCAGTTTCCCACTGACATCGTGTTTTGCTAAGGTACAAGTTAGCATCTTATGAGGTAGTATGCTACCTTGTATCTCAACCGCTTTCATCACCCCCTTCCCCACTTAGCCCTTAAGTGAGCCACAAGTGTTGTGAGCCAGCGCTAAGCGAGCCACAAGTGTTGTGAGCCCCGCCAAGTGAGCCACAAGTGTTGTGAGCCAGCGCCAAGCGAGCCACAAGTGTTGTGAAGCAACACAAGCGAAGCAACAGGTGGGTAGGAGGAGAGGTATGGTCATTAAAAACAGGAAGGATCAGTGTTAAAACACGTGTCACCTTTCACCCGTGCTGAGGTCGGCAAGGTGCCCCTTTAGTGTCTCTTTGAGGAGATGGTGGGAGGCTTCTACTCCACCCCCGCCCCAGCCTTTGTCGAGGAGGAGGGTCTGCCACTCCACAACTATGGTGGTTGGGGGGTGGAGAAGACACCATACCTCCGACGAAGCAGGAGGTCCCACTCATTCTAACCGGAGTAGACAAGGTGCCACTAGTCTACCTCTAGCAAAGTAGATTTTGCCATTCCTACCCTAGTGTTTGTATAAATTACATTTCTCCTCCTCTAGCGAAGAAAGGAATGCCACTTCTCCTCCCCAAGCGTAAGAAGCACTACTTCTCTAACCCTGGCGCAGGTGGAAGTACTTGAACTAGCCCTCGTGTAGAAGTAGGTAATGCTCTTCTTCCCTCCCTGCTGTTGTTAGTAATGCTCCTCCTAGTGCAGGCACAGATATCACTCGCCCTTCTCTAGTGTAGTAAGTGGTATAGTCATTCCTACTGCCCCCCTCCCTAGTACAGAAGATGTCATACCTGTCTCCCTCGTTCCCAAGTACAGTCGGTGTCATTCCTGCCCCCTTAATGCAGTTAGTGTGAATCTCCACACAGTTCAACCGGTGTCATTTCTCCCCCCACCCCCAGTGAAGTAGTAGATGTCACTATCATCTCTTCACTATCACCTCTCTTATAAATATGACATCAACGATTTCATCTCTAAGATCCCTGCAAATTTATTTGGCCGACGCCCACCTTGCCGGGTGTAGCAGAAACCTATAGTGCGTGAAACTATAATCAAAGTTAAATGCGGCCTTTGTAACCAGGTTGCGAATTTATGTTGACGGCCAAGTGAAGAGTGAAAGCCAAAGTGCTTTGCTATTCCCTGCACTGCGGCGGCGGCGGCGGTGGCTTGAATATATAGTGTATTTTTCAGCCCTTGGAGGGAGGTGTCGTGCGGTGTGGCCCCGTGTTCACTCTTGTCTTGCACACTCCGCCTTCAACGAGCTCACTCCTCTCAAGGAAACGCTAGCTTTTAGTTTCATGTTTAACAGTGCCGTTTTCTCCGCTACAGTTCGTGCTGGTGGTGTGTGTGTGTTAAAAGGTGAATATGTATATTGGTCTCTTGTATTATCAGTGATACAGTGGACGGTGATACAGTGATACAGTATTGTGAGCTGAACGCTATATTCTCTCTCTCTCTCTCTGTAACTATAGCAGATCAAGACTATGTAACTTTGAAGTTCAGATTAGGATCCAATTATGTCCCTTTGTAACCTTTCTACCATTCACAGCTACAGTATATGGGGGGGGGGGTAATATAAATTATCTAAATTAAAAAGCCTTTTTTTCAACACTAGCGCTGTTGAGTGCCATTATTGACGCCTTCCAAAGAAAATAAAAACATATTTCATCAACACGGATTGTCATAGTTCACAGCATACATGACTGTGGCCAGGAAACTTATTAAAATTCCTAATACATTATACTCTACGGTGCATTTGAGACAGTGGCGAGATAGCTATATTTTGTTATGAAACAGTAATATGCGTTTCTTCGTATTAAGTATAACATTGACTCTGAAAAAATGTGTATTAAAGGGGCATTGTAACATAATCCCACTCACAATTTCGGTGTTTACTAATATTATATACATTAAGGAATAAAGCCTCAAGCACTCTACAACGACAAATGTACACGAATTAAGTACTTATTCGAATGAATTCATAACTGTATATATAAATAGATATCCTTGCAGGTGGTAGCCTCTGACATTAGGTTTAAGACGTCAGTGAATCAAGTTATGCGTGAGATATGTGAGGTGTGGGCTAAAGATAGACATGTAGTACTATGTGTGGTAGCTATGGCTGGTGTGGGAGGATATTATCCCCCCGCTGGAGCAGTGAACAATGAGGCAGGCATACACAGCCGGCCACTCATTCCACACTCCAGTAAATAATTCATCCCTCGAGCCGTCCGGCATTCGAGTCTTGGGTTCGCCCAACTCCGGTTAAGGGTGTTGGTAGCCGCTGGTGGCCCCTCACAACTCCTTACGACAAGCAGTTGGGGGCGTGACAACTGCTTGTTGTAGCTAGAGAGAAATCAGCTTTGCCTGAGCGAGAGGAAATGATCAGTTTAGTCCTACATTTAGAGGCACTTCTCGCCCCCTCCCTAAGCGCCGGGGTCTGACCCCGTCTCGACGCCTGGGCTAATGGCTTCACCTCTGCAACTGAAACCCTGTGTAACTTAATATAATCCAAATCAGAAACCATTTGAAACATTAAAAACAAAGTTTAGTGCCAATATAAAATGTAAATGATGTTTCTTTATGCTTTTTAAATTAATATACAACCATTTGAGAAATATTTCCAAATCCTTTAAACGGACTCGAACGTCGAGATGTTAGACACGGCCAACCTTCACTCACAAGCCACTTGTTAATCATTCCACAAAAGCCTAATTTACAAGGGTAATTACACTTGCAAAAATTAAATCTCATATCAATATTTAGAGGCTATAAAATGTGGCCACATAGAGGACCTTGCCAGAAACACGAGTACAAAAACCCACTTCCTTGTATGTCGAACGCAACTTTGTTATTGGTGGGGCCGAGAATCCAAACCCCGAGTGAGTGCTCAAGGTTGTATCAATTTACGTGGTGTAAGAGGCCCAGGGGGCGAGCTGGGGGGGCTGGGGCCCCTGAGAGCACGAGTGAGGGTAGGCCTGAGAGGTATGGAGGGCCAGGTGAGTGGTGGGCCAGCACGGGTGCCTGGGCCAGCACAGAGGTGCCAACGGACGGCACCACTCCTCTTTGGGTAGGGGTTGATCCGGGGGGGAGGAGGGGCTGCTGCTGCTGCTCTTGGGAAGGGGATGGCACTTGTGGGGAAGGGGGTGATGCCTCTGGGAAAGGGGTGATGTTCCTGTGAAAAGGGGTGATGCCTCAGAAAGGGGTAATGTCTGCCTCTGTGAATGGGGTGATGTCCCTGAAAGGGGTGATGCCTGCCTCTGGGAATGGGGGTGATGCCTCTGTAAAAAAGGGGTGATGTCCCTAAAAGGGGTGATGTCTGCCTCTGGGAATGGGGTGATGTCTCTGGGGATGAGATAATCACTCTGAGGGGTGAGGGGGAGGGGTTTGTTACTGAGGACTTATGGGTAGAAAATAGGTACAAGACAATGGGGGGGGGGATGTGTAAGTGGGATGGATTGAGGAAAAGTATTAGTTATATTAATTCATTTTGTCAGGGACAGAAAGCCTGTGTATTTATATATTTACCTGAATTTACTCGAGGGCCACTTACACTCTAGTGGTTTCAACAAAGCCTGGAAGCTGGTGGCTTGTCAAAAGTACCTCCAGTTGTCCTGATGATTTTTCTAGCTGGGTTTTAAAATTCAATACAATTTTGGCATTTACAACTTCTGTGGTAGGCAGTTCTGTGAGTTTATAACCCTCTGGGTGAAAAAGTATCTCCTGTTTTCAGTCCTACATTGTGGCTCACTGAGCTTGATATATATATATACTTTAGGCTTGTATCGAGGTATCCCAAGATCAAACTTCAGGGTACTGACCCATCCCGGGATGCAGCCCCATAAGTTGCCAAACCCCCAGGTACCTATTTAATGCTAGGTGAGCATTAGGTAAAAGGGAATGTGCTCAACCATTTCGGTCCCGCCCAGAAATCAAACCTGGGATCCTCGATTGTTAGTTGAGAATGAGGCCAACGTTGCTTCAACAAGATAAGTTGTTGCATGAGGTGCTGAGCAGCTGGGTTGTTGGTACCACCAAGCCTTGTCCCAACACATCACCTCCAAGACCCATCTCTTCTCACCAGATGTCAGGACCAAAATCTGGCCGACTATAAGATGAGTGAACAGGGGAAAAAAAAGAGAGCAACCATAAAACTGGGGAAAAGACCACCAGAAGTATAGGTACAACATAAGTGTGAAGGAAATTAGGCATCCCTAAGTAAAGAGGCAAATTATATTTGTTGCAGGGTAAATACCCTAACTGTGATGCACATGACTACCACCAGATTACCTGCTTGATACCTGGTTGATGGGGTTCTGGGAGTTGTTCTACTCCCCAAGCCCGGCCCGAGGCCAGACTTGACTTGTGAGAGTTTGGTCCACCAGGCTGTTGCTTGGAGCGGCCCGCAGGCCCGCAGGCCCACATACCCTCCACAGCCTGGCTGATCCGGAACTTCTCTTGGAAAACAGTCCAGTTTTCTCTTGAAGATGTCCACGGTTGTTCTGCATCTCCACATCACATGAAGTCTAAAATAAGTCATGTAGATGCCAATTCCCCATTGTTTTTCTGAAGGGTCCCTCCCACAAATCAAGTGTTAAATTATAATGAAATGCCCTTTTTTGGTGGGCTTTCAGTGATTTCTTATCTCCATTCTGTGGTTTTAAGAAGTTTTAAAAAAGTTGCTCCAGAGCAAAGAGACAGTCTGGCTGAGGCTTCAAGTGACTTGGACGCACATCTAATGGTGTTCAGACTCATCAAAGTCTGGGTATTTAACCTTGACCAAGATCATTTGCATTGTTTACCCAGTAGTTATAATTTCCTTCAAAGCAGTCATTTATTTTGTTGCACCTCTCCTCTCTGATGGGTTTCCTCTAGTTTTCTGGTTGATCTCTTTTATCTCCTGCTCCACTTGCCTCGTTGTGAGCCAGATTATGGTTCTGGCTACTGGTAGATGATAGATAGGTCTCGTGGGACTAATATGTTGGGTTAAGGCTTCGTAGTACCAAAGTTAAGCCATAGAGTATCTAAGGACCCACTGGAACAGGGTATTTCATTACATTCAACATTGATTTTTCCTATGTTGCGATAGATAGTGGTACTGTAAACTCTCATTGAAGTGAAACTCTGTATACCAGGAACCTGGATGCAGCTATGCATCTGCATATATAGGATGCAGCTAACCTGGAGGCTATGTTGCAGTAGCATGATTATTATATTATGCTACTGTATTATGAGTGAGTTTCAATATTCATCCAAACTCACTTCTATACACCATATCTAGGCTACATTTAAAACAATCTGGTGAGCCCACATCTGTCATATAAATTACCCAGAAGCCCTCTGTACTTTATAGTTTATGTTAATACAGTACCTAATTATATTTCATAAGATTCGGTACCTTGTGTAGTCTTCATTAAGTTTTTTATATTTTAAGGTGATGTGACGTCTAGATAATTATGGGAGAGAAGGTGGGTAACACGGAGGTCCTCGTTGGGGGGGTCGGAGGCGTATGGCACCAAGCACGTCTCACCCTCGAGGCCGACCATCTGTTTGTCACACTCACTGACCTGGATGAACTCAATAATCTTCAAGGCTCTGATGGAGAAAGTGCACCAAGTGATGTTCCCGAGCCAATTGCAAGTCAAAAACGAGTTGTCCAGATCTGCAAGTCTGATAATAATGGCCTTGGTATCTCCATTAAAGGTGGCAGGGAGAACAAGATGCCAATCCTCATATCTAAAATTTTCAAGGTAAATAATTAATGCCAGTTTATTGCAGCTTTGTAATCATGTCTGCTGCTCATAATATCTTCTGTGGTACGTCTAATCAAAAACGAAAAGATAAAGAATGAGAAGTATTTGTTTTTGCAAATGTATCTCTAATTGGCCTGGTTAATAATAATTATATTTATAATAATAATTGTTATTTACACTGTGTATATTTCAGGTATAACATATTATTGTAGTGATTTATTAGCAGGTACATAGTTTATATTAAATAAACTCAATAATACACAATGCATTATGCATATGCATGCATGTTTTTAGTAGTTAGAGGGGCGTGTTTCTTAATTTGTTTGTTAATGATATACAAATTAACATGTGAATGTTTACTTGTGAGCTATTATTAGTTATATAATAATGAATAATTTTGTTTTGTTTTAAATGTAAATGTAATCCCCTTAATCCAGGTGTCTCACTGACACTCGCCCTCACAAACCAACCGCTTGGGCTGGATGGTAGACCGACGGTCTCGCTTCATGCAGGTCGGGGTTCAATCCCCCTACCGTCAAAGTGATTGGGCACCATTCCTTTCCCCTCCATCTCATCCTAAATCTTTATCGTGATCCCTTCCAAGTGCTATATAGTCGTGGTGGTTTTGCACCTTCTGATAATTCCCTTCCCCCCCTCACAAAATGAGGATGTCCTAGAAGGATGAGGAGCATCATTACCCTGTCTAATGATTATTATACTTTTATGGGAGTGAGGAGGTAGGCATAATATAGAAAAAGAAGTCAAGTGATGCCTTTTCTTTTTCATTACTGCACTGTTCAAACTTGGTAGCACCGCTCAATTTACAGCAAATCGTTTTCAATGATAGCTCAGCTACTGTATGAACCCAGGTGTGAAACGTGGTATTCCTTGAGAGTTGTTAAAAGTTTAAATGTCCATCTCTCTTTCTTTTCTAATAATAAGCTATACAATTCTAATAATATACATACATTCAATCGTATTCATTACTAATCCTTGTATATTTTTCACATTCAAACTTTATATTGACGTGCTATATCTGCCTTCTGTTTCTTGGCTTTCTATTATCACTACCCTCAAGGTTAATGCATTCAGCATGACCATGACTTTTCAACACACTAATTAGTATTACGAGTCATCCTTCATGTACTGTACAAAGTATTTTTGTACGTATATTTCTTCATGCACTACTTTATTAGGTACTGCTGTAATAAAGAGCTTTATTACACCAACAATCTTGTCATAGTTTTTATATCTTAATTTTGTTATACTTCATAAGAAACATTACACGTGCTCTACATCTCGGGAAGCACATAGTGTTACAAACATATCATGTAAATTTTGTATGTGAATCTACCTTATTAGTAAGCATAGCTGGTTTGTTACTTGTGCGTTTTTCACTACATTGTATTGCTCCGAGGCTGAATTGAGTAAATAATTTCATACTATTATTATTACTTATTCTATCTATGCTTTTCATGGTATCCATTTCTGATGCTCTTAACATGATTGTTCCTGCTTGTGGCATGCTAATATTTTACATGTAATACTGACGTGGACATCCATCCCACACACACACACACATACACACGGAAAGAAAAGAAAGTGACTATGTTCTGGACCCTTATCAAATCATTTCCCGGGTGGATTAAAATGTTGTTACTTTCCTTTTTTTTTTTTTCATATGTTTGGGTTTGGTGTCAAATTTTGAGTCACATTATTGTGACTTACTTTACTTATTGTGACCTACTCTTAAATCTGACAGCTATGTAGACAGCACTTCGGTTTCATAGTCTCTGAGGTTCTGGGTTCGATCCCCGGTGCAGACGGAAACAAATGAGCAAATTTCTTTCACTCTAATGCCCCGATACCTAGCAGTAAATAGGTACTTGGGAGTTGGACAGCTGCTACGGGTTGCTTCCTGAGGGTGTGTTGCAAAAAAGAGACCTGGTCGAGGACCGGGCCACGGGGACGCTAAGCCCTGAAATCATCTCAAGATATAACCTTACATACTTGGTATTTTACATCCTTTCAATGTGATGGATGGTACAATGATTCATTCATGCAGCCCTCCAAGTCACTTTCCATTTGCATATCAGGATTTACATTGCTGTATACCTAACTAGCTATACTCTCAGCTTATTATTTAGATTTATTACCTTTTTAAATTGGCTATTTCTACATGATATTCCCCCCTCACATGCATTTACTGTACTTTTAAATATATTAAAGTACATTCACATAAATGAGAAAATTGTAATAAATCTACATCTCTTTCTTAACGTGTCCTAGGAGAATTTCAGAATCTGTTATGCAGTACATTTAATTTGGTATTACTGTCATACACAAAGCATATACCATTCTCTAATACTTGTACTGTGACCCCCCATAACCACATCTATTTAAATAGTAAACAGCTATAGTAACATTACTTGACATTAGCATATTCTTTCATTTATATCAAACCAGTCACTTTAGTGTTCATGCTTTATTTCTTTTTATATAAAGCCTTCACTGCAATTTAACAGCAATTCATTAACCTCATTCATTTTTCATTGCTCCGCAGTTTTTCTTTACATGCTCATTGTCTTCATCCAGAACCATGTTATTATTTTTCCCATCCAATTTTTTAGGCTTTCTCTAACTAGAAGTTTCAAAGAAAATATACAATTCACACAACCTCTTCCACAACAGACTGAATAAAACTGAAACTTTCTTTTGCTGTTAAAGGGGCAAGAAGATGTGTCATATAATTTCCTAGCTCTGTCTCCTCACCATTTTATTGCAGGGGACGAAGAGCTGTGGGGCTGTTACTTTCCTGCACGTCAATTGTTTTCATTTTAGATGTACAAAATGTTTCTTGTGGTCTTGATGAGAAACTGATGTTAATAACTTATGTTTTGTGAATTTTAATTAAGGGTATGGCAGCTGACTTGACTGAGAATCTGTACGTAGGAGATGCTATTCTCTCTGTCAATGGGGAGGATCTGAAGGAGGCTACACATGATGAAGCGGTGCGTGCTCTAAAGAGGGCTGGGAAAGTTGTCACACTTGAAGGTAATGCCTTGAGCTACTGAATGTTTTGTTTAAAATAATTTTAAATGTACAGTATATAGTTAGATTTTTCTGCAGCTATGGAGAAATTTCCAAATTTTTCTCGGAGAATCTTCTCGGTAGCTTGCTATACCCATGCACTGGTTCTTCCAAGCCTTAGCTCCACATACCAGCCTCTAAAGCCAGTACAGAATATGGTTCACTTTACAAGGTGAAGGGCACCTGGGATTAGAGATTGACTCAATACCAAGGAAAATCTCCTGCAGAAAGCTTAGGCATGAAAGCTCATGACTGTTTATAGGAAATTAGAAACCCCGAGGTAAACAAGGCAAATAATTATTGCCTTAGGGTAATTAATCTGACTGTGATGTGCTCAATCAACATTAGATGAAAGCCCAGATCACCCATAGTCCAAGCAAGCCTACCTCCTCACTCTTCCACCTTGATCCACTCACTCAGCTACTGTCTCTGTGAGGCCTGTTGACAAGTTTATGCTTTCAGTGGAATGATTGTTCTCTCAGGAGCTATTGCTTTGCTTCTTTCATTCTCTTCTTCATGATTGTGCTTATGCTACTCATATTGTGTGTTCCAGCATTCCCTTTCACTCCAACTGGGGTCTGGGTTATATTCTGTGGAGTCTCCTTGCATTTCCTGGTACCTCATTAGAGGTACCTGCTCTGAGACGTTGAGGCTTTCTCCTCCACAGGTTGACTTCTGTTGAGTCATCCCATTTCTGGACATTCCATGAGACTTGTTCTTCACTGTGGGACCTGTAGATGTTGCAAGACAGTCTTAAAAAACAAGTTATTATTGTAACAAATTGTAAAACTGTGCTTCTATGCATTAGATGACTGCTTATTGTGCTCGGTTCAACTCCTGGTGCATGTTGGGGCCTTACTCTTTAGCTGAGAGCACACTGGTGTTGCATGTGTGACTTTTTAGTGATCCTATTTTCTTTCACTCAACAGTTGGTATTGAATGGGGTTTTGTATTTGTTCGCTGAGCCCTTCCCTGCACTTGGCCTGCCTGCCATCCATGTGTCAGTATGGGTAGCCAGTGTCCCTCGTCTTTAAGGAGTTTCTTTATCTTGCATATGTTATTGACCATGTTATGGCTTCCCCATCTGATTCTGTACCAGGGTGTGTTTTGGAGTTTTTAGACCTCAATGGAATGTAAATCTATCTGGCCTGTTAGGTTCAAGGGTCCTTTTATCCCCAGGTGTGTGCCTGTGCTATGTTGGACGAGGCTTTGCCTTTCAGATTTTTGCAACACCTGTTGCAAAGGTCGGTTTTGACTTGCTTGTTGACTGACTGGTTAGGTCGGCTTTGACTTCCTTGGTGTTTTGAATGGCACTCAATAAATCTGTATTCTGATGGGCTCTGCTCTCCATGTTGATTGTGCCCCAGTGGTTCTCTGCCTCATTAAGTGAGTAATGTGTTATGTTCCCATGTGCAGCGTGATTGTGAGGATAGCTGCATTTCTTGCTTTTCACGAATTATTCCTCAGAGTGGTTTACATTCAAGACATATTGATCATTCTAGCAGATGGTCTCTTGTTCCCTGTGGCCTTGTGAAGTGTTCGGCTGACTGCAAGTGGTCTGTTTCTTTACATAGAACTAACAGCTACAGATATATGCAGTTCCATTTCTGAATTGTGAGGCATTTACGGTAGGTGCATTTCACCTGGATCCCGGAGGTTCAACAGAACATTCTACCTCGGTTGTTTGAGGCTCTCCATTAATCATCACATGCGGAGTTTGTATGAGAGTCAAGTGGTGGATCTTTTGGTGTTACTTTTTTTTTATACATGAGTGGATAATTAAGGAACAATGCCCAGTTGAGCCTCACTGCCCAGGGCTCTGTACCTTATGATATTGCTCATAAGGTACAGGGCGAGTGGGCTAACACTGTGCCATAGAAACCTTCTAGCTGTTCCTCTCTCTTCGGCATCTGTCTTTTCTGTCCTGGATTGCCATTTATTGCCTAATTGGCTACTGTAACTTAGTATCCTTCTCACTGGTGTTTGGGGGATGGATGTATCATCTCCCTCCCTTTTTCTGGTTGTCTGGAGCATTTTTCAGCTCTGACTTACCGTTTCCCGTGGCTGTCTTAACCTTTGGATGATATATTGAAATTTTTGTCCTTGCCTGTGGTTTCTCCCTTGCTCTTGGGTTTTTGCTTCATGCTCTTTGTTGGAAGCACGAGTTTAACTCCTTTGGTCCAGGAAATACTGTAATTTTCTTCTCCTGAAGCCATCTCTTAAAATCTTGGCTAAGAATGAGAGTTCTGCTTTTCATTGGGGCCCTTTGGTTATTGGTGCTTGGTTTGTCCTGCCTGGGATGCATTATGTTTTGTCCTGTGGTTTCAGTAGGGCATTATTTACTCACTACTCGCCTTTTCTTGTTGTGGATCCATTGTTTACTAATCATGTTTCAAACAATCCATTCTAAGGCCCACCTTTTCCAAATTTTTTGTTATATGGTTTGGTTCAGCTAGCCAACTGTGTGTATTCTCGCACTTATAATGCGTGGAAGTTTGCTGCTTTGACTGCTTTTGTTGCCAATATGCTCCAGGCTTAGACCTTCTGGCAGTCCTACTAGGAGTTGGCCTTGTGTTATTTGTTGGATGTTCCTCCTCCTCCTCACTGGCTTGTGTTGTACATTGGTATTTGGCATATATAACTGACATCTTTCTACCTCATGCTTTCTTCTCCAGCCATTCTCCAGCCTACATATGCATTGCAAGTTTGTGAAGCTTAGTTCCATTCTTCCCTACTGGGTTAGTGAGTTGTGGGTTTGGCACGAGTAGCTCCAGAGCGAGAGGGTGGGCTGACTGGGACTGAGTGACCTGGGCTGCCATCTAGGGACAGTCGTGCTCATCACAGTTAGGGTATATACCCTAGGTTAAGGTTTTTACCACTTGGGGTGTGTAATTCCCTTCAAGCATTCACATGTTTTGTGGCATCTATGATTTCTCGTGAGTTTTCACATCTTTAGGAATACTAGTATATCGATATCTAAGTTCTCCCTCTTCTCACTGTGAGCTAAATTGTGGTCCTAATTTCCAGTAGGAGACAGATGAATCTTGGGGACCTGGTATGGGTGCCATAGAAATGAATAGTATTAATACCACTGTTTTCATATAATTTACCAGAATTAGCTTTGAAATTACATTGTATAGAGATATACATCATATTTTCAGAATATGTCTCTAAGTATGGTTCAACAAAATATTGTATTGATTGTTGCTTGACCATGTTAGGCTAGAATGATATATTTAGGCAAATATTGTTTTTTTTTTTTTCTCCAGAATAATCCAAATTATGAGACTCCTTATCATAGTACAGTACAGTGTTTTTGAGAAGTTTGACATTTGCCAGTGTACTTTGAATATAGGAAACAGAATTTATGTTGACCAAACCACACACTAGAAAGTGAAGGGACGACGACGTTTCGGTCTGTCCTGGACCATTCTCAAGTCGATTCTCAAGTCATTATCGACTCGAGAATGGTCCAGGACGGACCGAAACGTCGTCGTTCCTTTACTTTCTAGTGCGTGGTTTGGTCAATATATTTCAGTCACTTTATTGTGCCTCCTCGTCTGCAAACAGAATTTACCTCATGCTGTAGAGTTTTTAGTTGGAATTTGGCAAATGTTTCTTCTTTATTGTTATTTACGTACTGTATGTTAGTCATGTGAAGCATCTCCTTGTTGAAAATTAGAATAATATTTTGTGTCTTAAGGTTATAATTGGTATGTGAGGTTGAAGGATAATGATGTTTCTTTGATGCATCATTGTTTTATTTGGTTACAATGCTGAATCTGCACCGTATTTGCCAGCATATAATACGCACCTATTTTAAAAATGTGTTTTGTGGAATAACACAATATTCATATATATGATCATACATGTATTGAAAGTGAGTTTTAAGTGGTTTTGTAGGGGAAAAATGTGGTTTTGTGCGTGTAACTACAATATATTCCCAGTTGTTGATGGAGTAAAAACTTGCATCCTATACAACGGCAAATATGTTAAAGAAAAAGGTTATGGAATTTTTGTCTGGTATTCATATATTCTTTATTTAAAATTTGTATAACCTGCTGAACCTCAACCCCAGCAGTGTTAGGCCTAACTTGAACATAAGTAATACACTTGGGAGAAAACATCCCTGAAACTATCCAAACTGATCTGTGCAATATTAGTTTGGTGTCATCAGTCCCGGGAGCTCTGTGTTTACCGGGGACCACGAGCCAGAACCTGGCCCCCCTCAGGGAGGCACAGGGAGCAATGGCCATTATGAGCACTACATTTAGAGTATTGTCATGTCTGCCATCGACCGGGGAGGGCACCCAGAAAGATAGGCGAACCAATACAAAACCCCAACTGGTAAAAATTATAACATATGTCTGAACAGAGCCAAGGCACTCCCCGCCCCTCCCTCAAAAGAAAACAAACTAACAAGCAAATCATCGTCCAACTAATGTGCCCGCTCGTTGGTGCCTCCCCCATAAGGGGAGAGGGGAAGCCTTCTCAGGGGTGCCAGCAGCCCACAACCACAGTTCGTAGACTGATGTGCCTGGTGTCAATACGTTTCCTTTGACCTCACTTTACTGACTGGCATTTGTGTTTGTGGCTTTGGCAGCTGTGTGTGGTGTGGTGGACAGGTGTTCTTTGTACGCTGAACTGCATGTGCTTAGGGCTTTCTTCCCTAGGTGCCCAGTAAGTACTTCCCTTGCATTGCAGGGTTATCTTCCCTGGGACGTTAGGGTGTCTTCCCCATTTGAAGGCTTCGTCACTTGGTGTTGTTCTCGCCCTTGGGGTACATCAGGGGTTTAGGTCTTCCCGTCTTGCCCCGGGTAGGGAGGTTTTTTTTAAAGGTAAAATGTACCTTTATTCCCTGGCCCAGCTGTTGTTTTGGGTTCTGCTCGAATCCTATCAGAGGATGGTGCTTCTCCTGACCCCATGTTGGCCAGCTCTACCTTGGTTTAAGGCGCTGCTTACTT